CCAAATCCTGGTTTTAGCTGGGGGATTCGATCTTGTCTTTATGTAGCCCCATGGTGAGTGCTTCAGGGAAATGTGCGACTGATGAAGCTACCAGTGTCACCACAATAAAGGCCGATATAATATATACTCCATATGATTAAGCCACCCGTCGTCATAGAATTTGGCAGCTTCTCGATGGTTTTCCTTTTCTTTTACTTTTTAACACAATGCCATCTCCAACTCTCTTGACCTCACACGATCAAATCAAAAGATGCCAATGTCACGTAGTTAACAAATCATATCAAAATGGCACTAACGCGAGCCTTTATTTACCGGTTCATTATGTGTATTCCTGGCCGATCTTGATTGTGTAAAGCTTTTATGTGCCTAATTTTCTACCTATTCTTCCATTATTCCATCCTTTTAAAGATTTTTAGTATTGAGCTTTCTTATTTTCAATGTTTATCTTTAATATATTTTTGTACTGCAAAAATCAAAGACGATTATGATTAAAAAATCTTGACCTATTGTTGTTCACCGCAAGTGCACGGATCGTAGCAAGTAATATAATGAAAATAAAGTATCGTTCTTTTGAGAATTTATTCAAGAACAATGATCAAGCAAAAGATTAAGCAAATTCAATCAAGTTGAGTTACACATAATTAGGTAAAAATGATTTTTTTATGAAGCTAATACTAAAAAATAAAGAAAGTGATTGATTCACAAACTTCAAACACAAATTGAGACCTAGGATTATTTATCCCCTTGCATTTCATAACACCAAAATTACCTCCCTCTCATAAATTCTTTTAATGAAAATAAGTGCTAACCTAGGGTTCTAAAAATACTCGAACAAGCTCTCTGAAGTCATGAACAAGTGTTTAGTAAATTAATTGCCCAATCTCTTGTTACAATTAATAAAACTCAATTTTAACACCCCGACCTAATGTGGTATGCAAGGCTAGCAAGTATATCTCTTCTCTACTAGCAAAACCATCCATTCAACATGCAAATATCAAGTTCTTGCACAATAGTATCCAAATTCTACAGTCAACCTAGCCCTCTCAAGCATCAATTAAGTGAACCCAACATCTAAATGGTGGCCAATCATGTAGAGGCATTAAGGAAAGAGTAAAATAAACACACACACAACAACACACATACATATATATATATCATTAATCACAAAAAGAGAGGAGAAAGATAGTGTTAATTCATATAAGGGTTCCAATAATCCTAGAACAAAGGGTTTAGCTACTCATAATCATCCACAATCTACAAATATATAAAATAAGTAGACACATTTCAAATTACAGAGAGGAAAGGGAAGAGGAATGGAAAAATCGAAGAAAATGAGCTCCAAATGTCTTCAAAGCTTCAATCTCTTGATCCTAACTCTTTTAATGCCCAAATCCTAGTATAACCAAGCTTCAAAAGTGTCTAAAAGTCGAAGAAAGAATGCATTGGGTCGAGCTCTCAACTTATATGTATCCTAACCAACTAATCTTTAATAAATGAAACGCAGTTGACAGCGGCAAAAGTCAAAAACGAAAGTCACGACTTTGAGACGACTTTGGCAGTTTTGCATTGTTTTTACAGCTACCGAAAATCATTCATTTTGCTCTTGATTTCTTCATCCAAAAGCCTTCTAAAAAATTTACAAAGCTCCAGAAATGCTTCTAATCAAAACTTCAATCAAAATAACATGAAATTAGGCTAAAAATATCAAATTAAAGTCAAGAACACAAGCCCAAAACAAAATGCATATATTTCCTAATTTGGGCAATAAAAATATATACAATTGAACCAAAATGGATTAGAATCTAAAGAAAATGTGATGAAATAACATGAACTTCTAAAGGTCAACACTTATTTATGAAAAATTTAAATTCCTCAATTTCAATTAATTCGTTAAAAATCCTCAAATGTTATTTTTCTGATAATTAACATATTAAAAAAAAAATTCTCTGCATGTATATATGTGTTTATGACTTCAACTTACTATATAAGATATCTGCAACGTCTATAAAAATTATGGCACATCTGTGTATCTTGATCATTAGATTTCTGTTACTATTAAACACCACTAATTTACAGTGCTAATTATTCCCCCCAAGACTATACACTTCGGTCTTCTTTTGATTCCAGGCTTCAGTCATTATCTGAACTAAACATTAGATTTTCCAGACTTTTTTCTTGTAACCTTTCCCCCAGTTTTACTCTTCATTGTTACACACTCCACCAACACAAATGCGGCTGGCACGTTTTTCGGAATTATTAATTAATAATTAATGAATCAAAATAAGTCATGCATAGAATAGCCGAATGATTACTCCTTCCAAATCATAATATAAGCCGTTAATACAAAATATAGAATAGTAAATAGGTGTTCAATATTTTTTTTCAATTACACCATTTTTATTAAGTAATTAATGAGAATGTATTAGAAAGTCAAATGTTATATTTATTGCTCTCAAGAGCATAATTTGAAAAATGTGAAATTTTTTAAAAAATCAAATGCTAACTAACTTTTTTTGAAAAATGTAAATCAAAATGTTATATTATTGCTCTCAAGAGCATAATTCTTGTTGCCTGATGCAAGAAATTTATTAATAATTAATTTTGAAATATTTTTGACCTTGAAGCTTGTTATAATTCCAAATTTTTTATTATGAAAAAAAGTGAACATGTATTTGATTTAAAGAAGCATACTGGTTTTTGCCTCAAACGGCAAGAAAGGACAAATTGATTGCGTGTTTTTCTTAAAGTGAAACGGTTGTTCCCGGCAAAATAAGATAAGATAAGGTAAGATAAGATAGGATGGTTGTTATATAGTGTTGTTAATCTTGAGAAATATTTAGATTGATCGAATGTATCATATTATTTATAATCTGTTTAATAAGAACATGACATTTAGATATTATTTAATATAAATTAATTCTGATATTAATGATAATAAAAAGAAAAAAATAAAAAAAATTGAATGTGCATTCTGTTATAAAAATAAAATCAATTAAAAAAGTGTTACAAAAAATTTTATTTAAATACTTGAAATATTTTAATTAAATAGATCACAAATGACATGATACACTTGATCTATTTAAATATTTTTTGGTTAACCTTAATGCTTCTTACTAAAGATGTCCCATAACGGGTCCACCCACCATTTGTTTACTATAATATAATTAGTTATTAGTTATTTATATAAAACCCTGAAGGCCTAAATACAGATAATTAAAGGTCCAGCAAGACGCCAAAGTAAAGTGAAGGTTTGAAACTTAGAGTGAATTGGAGATTACTAGATGCTTCTGGATAAAAATTTGAAGAGGCCAGAAGCCTTGGATTGCAGAAACTGCAAACGAGATAAAGCCAATTTGCAGCTTTCACTCCATTCGCTCTGTTAGAATACGTATAACTTTAGCTTGTAGTTAGTCAAAATATAACAGCAATTGAAGAGAAAATTTCAGACATTTGTCAAAATACGCAAAACAAAAGCACACCCCTGCTTTCCAATATGAAATTTTGAATTATTGCGGAGACAACAAAAGTGGAAGTAGGAACTTAGTTTTCATTTGAGGGCTCGAGGATAATACTTCCAAAACATTTTCTTCTGGAATCCAGATGCCACTAACCCGTCCCTTTTCAGTTGTCTTTCGTTTTTCTTCTTTTTTCCTTCCACTTGTCAAGTCAAAGTAAGATTTTTTTAACCTATGGTGGAGAAAATCTACACTATGTAGAAGCTACTCATACAGATTTATTTTCTTTTCCCTTCTCTCTCTCTCTCTCTCTCTCTTGTGCTTTTCCGCACTACAATGTAGATACGAACAAAGCGGTTATGCTGCTGATTCAAAGGATTTAATATACATTAAGCAGCCTGGAGCATTGAACCTACTCACAGTGACTACTGTATGTAGCCCTCTAAAAAATAATTATAGTCAATTCCCAGCCTGCTTTTGGACTCATCACCAGCATCCTGTTTAACCCAAACCTGCGCAGTGCTTCTGACTGATCAGCATGAAGCAGTAGTAACAACAACGATAAAAAGGGCACTTCACTTGTACCGTTAGAATGAAGTTTCATTAATTTTTGCAGCATAAGTTTAACAAGTAGATGCCCTCTCCAACCTCACATTTTACAATAGAGTCTTCCTATGAAGGAGAAGTGATGTTACATTAAAAATGAACATTTAAGCATTTTCAACATGCAATTCATAATATGGAGAATCATCCAGCTTCTGATTGGTACCGTCATCACTACAAACTTGTATAATAAATCTGACACGGGAAATGACAGCAGGAATTTTGAGGTCAGCAACGTAGAAGCAATTCACTTGTGCAATTCCAAGGTACTCTGGCATTGGCACACGTTCTGTTTGTTCTGATAGTTTCTCGACATACACTTTGTAGTTAAGGAACACGTAATTATCACCATCTTTCAGGTTCCAGAGAAGTTTGAGACTAAGGGCCTTTGAACCCTCGGAATCTGATATCCATTTGATGTATTCACCACTAACTAGCCACGAAGTAGAGATGGGAAAATCTGAGTTATGAGCAGAAGTCTTGATTGTAATGTGACCAAGAACCGCAAAATAGTCCGTTGAAGAACCCACCCTGCTATCAGGGCCATATGATCTGGACTTAAGTCTTGGCATATTATACGGAGGCTCTGATCTGTAGCACACTGCATGGATTGCTGTCAACACGTACCCAGTCATGGTGATTGTGCCTTCATGTACAACCCATTGAGGGGAAAGTCCCCTGAGTTCATGCGTCGTGAGTGCTTTGTCGAATTTGCTTGAGAGCTGATTCATTTGCGGGGATGTAAGGAGTACTGAAGTTCTTTCGTTTGCAATGGAAGTGAACTCAAGCACAAGTCCCAATGAAGAATTGCTATCAGATTTCACCTGCATTAGTCGTAGGTTTCATGAGTGAACGAGATTAAAGAAAAGAGCCGGAATTGTCCAGTTGGGCAGTATAACAATGGGAGAATGACAGTTAAGGAACTTCTAAGAACATTAATCTCAATTTCGGACCGTGAAATTTTAAAATCCCAGGCAAGGACTATGGTCCTTAATTGTGATAAAAAAAATGTAATTTGTGAGGTGGGATTCACTAACGCGACTTGAGAATTTACTAACCCAACTTGAGAAAATTACTAACGTATATTGTGAAAACATGAAACCCTACTTGGAAATGGAATTTTTAACAAAAAGTGCCACTTGGGAATTCACTAACTAAACTTGAAAAAAATTCTAACGTATATTGTGAAAAAATGAAACCCTACTTGAGAATTATTAATAAAAAGTGACTTGTCCAAATTGATGTTTTTTATTAAACAATCGATTCCCAAATGGAGTTTCATGTTTTCACAATATACGTTAGAAATTTTTTCAAGTCGAGTTAGTGAATTATCAAGTAGCGCTTTTTGTTAAACAATTGATTTCCAAGTAGGGTTTCATGTTTTTACAATATACGTTACAAATTTTCTCAAGTTGGGTTAGTGAATTCCCAAGTGGCAATAATGAATTCCACCTTACAAACTACATTTTTTTTATCACAATTAAGAACCATGGTCCTTAACTGGGATTTCAAAATTTCACAGTCTGTAATTGGAATTAATATTCTTAGAAGGTCCTTAATTGTCATTCTCCCTGTAACAATTGGCCAAGCAAAATACGCCCCATTTCCTTTTTCCTGATTGTGTAGCCTTGAGTTTACAAATGACAAATATATGCTATACTTTTCACAAAGAGAAAGCTTACAGAATATAATATGTGGATAGGTGACTCCCCCACAGGAAACTGCCCCTGAAAAATTCTCTTCTGGAAATAAGTTTGTCCCTCGAGAGATCCTTTAAATGTAATGTTCCCCCCTCCACTATAGGATGCTTCCTTAAAGCTGCAAGTTCCAAAGAAAGAAAGCAAATGATTGACATCTTTTCATAATTAATTTTGGAAAACTATTCACTATGTAGATGAAAAAACAGAAAAGCAATGTTGTGATAAAGTCATTAGAAAAGAAAGAAAGAAAGAAGTGTGAATATGAGAGAAGACTCTGCACCACTATCAGCTTAGCCATCAAACATCAAACTCCTAATCTTGCCAATAAAGATGTTCTAGAGGATGACCCCATAATTAAAGGCATGATTTAAAATAGAACAGTTTTTTTTCATCATCAGGCGACAAAAACAGTTCTTTGCAATTGAACAAGGATTACCTATCCTGAAACATCCTCATATAATCTAAATATCAGAGTGAGTCAGTCAATTATGTCTTCTGTTTGAGTACATTGGTTTTGAACATATGAATTATATGACATACATTCTGCGTTGTTAATCAATTAAAAAAAATTAGTAGAAGGAAATTCTGATATGTACTTACTCAACAAAGGCTTGAATAGAAGCATTTGGAGTGACACCAGCAAACTCAAGGAACGGCTGCACACATATATGTAACAGAATATAAACAAACTTTGAACAAGGACCACTTGTATCAAAGAAGGAATTACAGATTAGAAGGCATGGCATTGGTGTATAGTTGCAATTGAAGGAAAAAAGTAAACCATCCATTGCACAAGAAAAGAAGGATCTGTGATGAACATGAGGACCTGGAATAAGACTGGGAGTGTCTATCAAAGATCACAAATATTTTACTTGTTACTGCAGATTAGCTTTATTAAATTGATATTACTGGATGTCAGAAATGACAAACAAGCAATTAATGAATGGTGTATGTATGTATACGCAACCATCCATATGGTACTTATTTGAGCACATACCTGTAAACCTTGAGAAGAAATGTTGCACCAAGCAGCATCATACACTGTGTCTCCGTCAATTGAAATATGATAACCACGTCCCTGAAAGTAACAAAGAATGTCCACATTTGAAAGATTCACAAGAATCTAATCTAGAGTGTTTTTTCCTCAACCCAAAGGTTAAGTAAGCAGAACAGAAATAGCAACCATGAAATATCTCAAGGATTGCATCTAGTGAACTAATTGTAGAACCCCAATTCATGTACAAGGGCACTATACAAGCTAAAATTACCCATCACTTTTATCTTATGACCAATTAATGACAGAAGTTTACAATGAAGAGAATTATTTGGAGTTAAAAAAAAAAATTAGATGTCTTATGATTTATATACGCATTACCAACACAAGAAACCATTAAGTAGACGTGGACAAATTGGAAGCAGTCTGGTCTGGGCTTTTATTATGACCTTTAGGTGCCAGACGAACATTTTCTTTAACAGGAGTGTTTAAAGCTATGATTTGTATTGCTTTTCGCCTTCTTCTCAAGAGTGTCATTCACTCAGCTTAAAGGGAGATAAAGCAAAGTCCATCTTTTATTAAAAAAAAAAAATGAATTCTCATTTCCATTTGCCTATCTTATTCACAATTAATTTTATAGTAACTTAGACTAAAATTCAACAATGACTTGAAGAAAAATGAATTCTCATTTTCATTTGCCTATCTTATTCACAATTAATTTTATAGTAACTTAGACTAAAATTCAACAATGACTTGAAGTTCTATGCAATTGAGTATGGGCAAAAAGTATTTTCAAAGTTTTTATTCATACCAGAAGCTTACAAAGTCCCATTTGAGCAGTAGGAAGACAATATCGAAGTATCGAAGGGGACAAGAATCACAATTGTTTACCTGATCAAAGTTTGTGAAGAATGGCAGTATTCCAGAGTAGTTTCGTAGTACGCCCCATGATTTCTCCAAAAGACCCCACCAACTACAATAACAAATGTAATGCAATGACGCAGGCACTTATATGATAAGTATTTCAAAATGGAATCTCCAGCATGAGTATGAAACTTGTTTGCCTAATATGAAAATTCAAGAAGTTAGAAAACTTTAAAATTGTGAAAATGATTAAAAAAGAAATGTAGCGGTGAGAAAGTTCATGATGGAACTGAGCCTCCACTATTCATGTACACTAGAAGAGGAAAGAAAGCAAAACGTGTGCTTTTGCTTGCTTACTCTAGAAAAAGTCCTTGAACAAGAGAACATGGCCCAGAGAACAGTTAAGGGGCAAAAGAGCAATTAAGGTGCATTGGGCTGTTAGAGGTGAGAGCAGAAGAATATAGTGTAGGAACAAATGGAGACAAGGCAAAAGGAATATGAGTTTGGTAGGAAAGCCTCTGCCTTTCAAATTGTACAGGAATCAGTAAGCTGGTACTTCTTCTATTTCTATTTCCCGGAACAATAGTTCTTACTTAAACTTACACTCAGGTAGAATTATAAACTCACACGGAGCGTTCTGAAAAGAGATTCCCTCAGTTCAGAAATTCAACATGAATCATTTGAAATCATCCAAATATGATTGACAACCCAAAAATACCATGCGAGCCAAATGATCCAGGTTTTATTTGTCACAAGCTACACAAGCAATATAGTCAAAGCTTAAAACTTAAAGATGCCACTGGAATAACTTTAGATATTGAAGAATTGCTTTTGGACGAAGATGCTCAAATTCCTCAGCTTTTCTTCAAGGTAGTATTTGCATTGATGGATTTGGATTTGAATTTTAGGTTTAAAATCTTGCATTTAAAATTCATGTATTCAAAATCCTTTGTTTGGGTAGTTTAAAAAAAAAAATTCAAATGAAGAGAGATGAGGTGAGATTCAAAATAAAAATAAAAAAATTGAAAGTGATGAGTTTACTTATATTTTTTAATCAACGAGAAATGAGAAAAGATACAAGAATCATAGAGGCATCAATAGTAAAAACACAAAGAGAATGGGATATTTGAAGTTATTGGAATTCCATATGACTACGGTATAGGAGGAATTTAAAATTACAAAGGAAATGTGATAAGAGATGAAATCAAATCCAAATCCATAAAATTTTATTAATAAAAATGAGGAATTTGATCTAAATCCAAATCCAATCTAAATTTCCATTAATCTGAACACACCAAGATATTTTAACTCCACAGATTGAGTGCATAATTATTCTTAAGCAAATCCCCGAGAGAGCTTAGTGGATCAATGATTTATGTTTCGTCTTTCATTTTCTTTTTGTTTGTTTTGAGAGATATAGCAATCAATTATGATTCCTTTTCTGTTGATTCTTTTCCAATCGAGAGGTATGGATCCATGGGTCTATGTGTCTATATAGATCCTGCTCATCGATTGACAAAAATGACAAAGGTATGACAACACTAGTAGCTGCATTACCGATTTTGACTAGTCTGAAAATCTGGTGGTTGCTTAGTCTCATAGACCCACCCAGGAGCAAATACTGCAGCTGAGACATCCTCCTTTCTTAGCACATCAAGAGCAACATTTGCCTAATACAACACATCCATAGTTAGCTTAGAGTCATGAAGCTAGTAAAAACATATCCTATTTGCATAATTTCTCATAAAATATAAGTGATACTACGTATATTAAATATAACTTGCAATGGTGAGGAAAGGATTTAATACTCTGTTTGGGAAAATGGCATATAATGACTGCCATCAAGAGTCTTAAATAACAAATACTCCCTCCAGCTTTTGATATAGATCACTTTTATATAGGACACTTTTAAATCATTAACGTTGTCAAGAAATTCAAATAGTTCCCAATATTACCCTTATTAACCACATTGCTTAAGCATATCTGGAAGAAAAATAGTTAATGTTTCACTAATAAGTAAGGTGACTAACAATCAGGACCAAGAACACCTTCTGGAAAGGTCTCACATTGAGGATCAGAGTGGTACTACAATTCCAGAAAAAAGAATACTAGAGTACTCCCATCTTTAGACACAATAGGAGATCTTTGGCTATGGATTTTCTAGCAGTCACTATAAAGAAAAACAAACAAAGAGGTGCAAGTTTATGAAGAGAAGAATCTAATGACTTTTAATGGAATTAAAGGCTAAACACTTCACTAAGGAAGAAATGCAACATTAACTATTTGGGGTAATAACTCTAAAGTCAATTATAAGCCCATAAACAAGAAGAAAGAAAACATCTCTGATAAAAGCCATTATGTAGTAAAATAAAATCAAAATACTTTGATATTTTATATGTTTAGAATATCTGCGACATCATATTTGAGTAATTAACTTGACCTCAAAGCATGCAAGTTATTCCACATCCTGGCAGCTAAAACGAAGAATAACAAGTTTTCTTATGTATTTTTTGGATGTAGTATGCTACAAGAATACCTACCATCTACAAGGTATATACTTCAATTGAAATAAAACAGGCAATAAATCTAGAATATCTATCATAGCAATCCCATGCATGCACCAAGAACTATATAGGAGTAATTGGTAGACTTCAGTTCCTGGATGTTCTATGCAGAATTATATTGATTTCCAAATAAGTTATATGTTGAAATAGTAGAGATAATCTGTAGCTATACAATAAGATTCTCTAATGTTGCCAACCACTTACATTCCACTGTCCACCACCGTATGTGTTCCTTCCAAATACATCAATTCCCATGTACACATCAAATTTTCTGTCACCAGCAACATCGGCAGAGAGCCTTGGATAGTCTTCCTAGATGGTACATAAAAACTAGATTATGGTAGATAAGAATTGATCATACAGTGGTATAGTGGGAGCATACAAGAGGAATAGACAATACCTTCCACGTATAGTTTACAAAAATTCCATCGCATATATCAAAGAAAGGCTTATTGTATTCATCTAACTTATCCTGCCACTCTAAGATACCATTGATTGTAACACTGTCATACCTATATGAACCAAAAAAGAAAAAGAAAAGAAAAGAAAAAGTCAAGTTTCACGCCATAAGCAAATGAAATGTTACAAGAAAAATTAATTTGTTTCTTCTAATACTGACCATATTACTAATGATCCAGGCACTGAAGAATGCATTATCAACGTTAAATGTTTGACAAACTCCTTCAAAATTTCAATTTGACCCACGTCCAATTTCACCTCCATGTTTACCTGCAATAAAAGGCTGGTGTTTCAGCCACTGGGAAGATCACAAGAATAGTAGAGTACAGTAAATGCAATGCTTCAAACCAAAGAAGAATAGTGGTATCTGTTTCTCACTATAAACATATATATTTCCCTAACGTGATTTTCTTATTAATTCTATTGTCACAGACAATGTCTGTAAATTTTTTAGCAAGAAAGCACTTGGATCAAACGAATTCTTTACGCAGCTTCAGCTCAAATAGTCCAATTTCATGGAACCCAAACTTATAATATTCAAGTTTAATAAATTTTTGACAATCACTACATTTGCACCAGGATACTCTGTTGCACTGCAGATCAAGAAGTTCGCCCCAGATATCATAATAAATATAACAATTATCAATGGAATCACCCTTTACTTAGATTTAAATTTACACAGACACGTCAATGAACCCCCATAAAGAGCACCAACGATGAGTTTTTTACCAGCCACCCATCAAAGCCTAAAGCAGCAGCAAGCTCTGCCAAACGCTCTGCATACATTTGTGCAGACTCCTTAGTTGCAAGCATCTCATTACAGACCGCTTTTCCCTCATCCCATTCCGTGATGAAAGTTCCCAGCACCTAAGATATCAAAATACAGCCAAGAAAGATCAAGTACAACATCCTTCAGTTTATCAATTTGAAACTATTTACAAGATGAAAGATGCAATGAAATCATCCACCTCTTGTGATTAAATTACAAGCAATAAATGATGTTAGAAAAATCAACCTGCAACAGACAAAATAAAACCCGATATAACATTCGGGAAAGATGTTTAGGATTACCATATAATCTCATATCATGTCAGTTAAACTCAACCAAATGTGGAGGAATTCAGTTGACTTCAATGACTAGGTTGTAATGAAGCATGTGTTATAAATTTTTTAAACCACAGTGTCACCTCATCGTGATCAGAAGATCAAGTACCTTAACGCCATGACGATGACCTGTGTTTGTCCAACAAGGAGGAGGAAGAGTAACTAGACTATGAGAAAAGTACACAAACACATCTATCAAGTGCCAGTGCCATATGGCATAGGCATCGGCGTTAGTGCCACCCTGAACCCACTTATCATCAGTATAACCCCCGGCCATATCATGGCACACGAGCAATCTGCGCCTGAGGGGCAATGAAGAAGAAGAGCCAAGACTTCGGATGGGGACGGAAGCTTTGTTAAAAGGGTAGTGAAAGGAGTTAAAATAGGACCGGGACTCCAGCTCGTGAAGCGTTTTGATTGGATAAGAAATAGGCAGGGAGGGTTGACCGGGATCAAATGTTGGGGTGTCGGGAGCAGATTGTTGAGGCTCTGCTTCTGAATTGCACGTGACGATAGAAAGGATACTTTGTAGGATGCAACGAAGAGTGGCCAGTGCAGTGATCAAGAATTCCCGGTTTATACAGGGTCGAAGGCGCCGAGGAATCATCCGACCCCAAGGAGTCGCGCAGTCACAAGGCATCGAGGATATGACTGCTTTGCTTTGCCGTGTTTGGTTGGAGGGAAACTGGGAGATAAAAATGAGTTTATGAAATTTTAATAAAAATAGCATACAAAGTAAAGGAGTGAAATAAATTTGCAAAATAAATAAATAAATAAATAAACTTGACTTCTTTATTTATTTATTTTTAAATCAAACTCATTAAAATCTCCCCTCTTTTCTGAATTTCATTCTAAATGTCTGTTTGGATTTCAATTGAATATAATAAATTATAAAAATAATTAATTAAGCGGTAAATTTTAATCATAATTGATTATGTTATAATGCAATCTATTTAAATATTATTTTTTAAAATTAATTTTAATAAAATTAAAGATGTCTGAATAATTTATTTAAAATTAATTTTTACTGTATAATTACTATAAAGGATATTGCTTTTCAAAATTAAATTATTAATATATTTATATATAATATTATTAAATTTGTTAAAATTTACTTAAGAAGTAAAATATATTATTTAAATTATATATATGATTAATTATAAAAATTTAAATTATATTAATATTAATAATTTAATTTACATAAATAAATAATTTAATATATCTTAGTTCAAATAAATTTAATAAAAGAGAAAGATTTAATTCTTAAATGCCAAACATTAATTTTACAATAACTAATAAATATAATAATATATAAATTAATTTCTAATGACATCATGGATATGAACCATATCTGACGAAAATGTTAAGTACTGCTTTAAAATTTTGGCAAATAAAAAATATAGCAATGTAACAAATGATGCAAAATTTCTCTCTCAAGACCTTTGCAACAATTTTTATCATACACTAAATTAAATTAATTTTCCTTCACCAATTAATATTTTATTTGAATTTGTTTTATAATAAGTGTTAAGTGAAAAGTGATGGTTGACAAAAACTAATTATGTTAGCAATTTTTTTAAAGATTTAAAATTTAAATTTTACTAAAAAAAAGAGAATAGAAGAGAGTTTTATTTTTAAAAAAAATATAATTTTTTCTTGAGCATTTCTTTATAATTTCTCCAATACTTTTTTATCAGCGTTTTTGAAAGAGCTCAAAATCTTGGCTTTTGAAAAAAATTAATTTTAATGGTTGAAATCAATTTTTTGCTTTTTTAGGTGTTTGGCTAATAAATCAAATAATTGATTTTTAAAAAAAAAATTGGTTAAAGACGTATCCAAATAGACACGAATTCTTCCTTCAAACACCTAATTGTAACAAACAGGTTTTTGTCACAAAGAAGAGAGGAAAACGAAACAAAACAAAGCCCGAAAAGAAACAAGAGGCTAATATTTTTTCATCGGATCATGTAAATTAATAAAAATTAATTATTTAATTAAAAGCATACTAAAATTTTATTTTCATTTTTAATTATTATAAATAAAAAATAAATTATTTTTAAAATAAATTAATAAGAATATTTATTTTTTCTCTTTTTAATTTAATAAAAATATAATGATTCACTTATTAAACGAATGCTAACAAAATTTTATATTTAGAACAAAAAAAGTTTTAAAACGTTTCATGCATAAGGACGGATGGGGTATTGAAGCCACATGTCCTATTGAGAAAGCCGTCTTCGTATGGAGTATTTAACATGAATGTAACAGCTAATATACTCATCATCAATGCTGATATTCGATTTTTGAAAAAAAAAATAATTAATTGGTCTTATAATTTCACTAAATTTTTAACTCAATTCCTATATATATTTTTAATATATGGCCACGGTAAACCGTCCATAAAGACTGAGATTTAGTCATGTCTAATATCAAGAAGTTTATACAGTCTTGTGAGAGTTTATCAAAGATCGTAATATTGAAGTTGTTACATATTATCTAATGGGCTAGAAGATCTGCATATCTATTTTCTTCTCTATAAACATGATCAAATGTGACATCTCAATCCCTCATTATGATATCTCTAATTTTCTTGATAATGTCAGAAAAGGGATGACTTTCAGAGTAGTTATGGCTAATAAAAGACAACACATCCATTGAATCAAGGTAGATGTTAATTGTAGATAATTCCTCTTTCCAACAAAGGTTAAATCCTTCAAAAACTTCCATCAATTCTACCACTATACTATGATGATAGCAAAAAAATTTAAAAAGTCCTTTAATCCAATTTCCTTTACTGTCTCTAATTATGCATTTGTAAGAGTCTAATCCATCCAAGCTAAGGTAGGCTTAATTTAGCATCATATCTAGCATCTCTTTTGTTCAAGTGGTTGAATTTTAATAGAAGCTTTAGATTATTATTAATTTGTTAAATGCTAAAGAAGGAAATATCGTTATTCAAGATCTCATCTTCAGAGTGGAGTTTCTTGCATCTGGCTTCCCAAATATTCCAACAAGCTTAGGCAAAAAGTCTTTGCTAAGGTGTTCTTCTTGTGTTTAAGCTGCCTACTTCACTCTTTTCATTCTAAATTATCCAGTCTCACAAATTAAGAGAAAAAAAGGTGTAAAGTTTTGTAAGATTCACCAAAATTATTATTTTTTTTTTCAAATCTATGTAGCTTCATCACAATCTCTTAAAATATGAATAGTAAAGTTAAAGGAGTTACAACCAAAAGGACAATTGCTTTGTTGGGGAGAGTGACTAATGGTATGATGCATGTAGTTGTTATGCAAGCAATTTCAAGCAACCTTCTAAAGAAAATATTTAATTTTTTTTTTTACATGGGCCACTTCCAAATGCTATACTAGATATATGAGTGATATTGGTCCTTGTAGGTCTCTATAGCTTTGTAAGCAGATTTAATAGAAAAGTTGCCATCAAAGAAAGCTCTCCACAAAATAATAACTTCTTCACTCTATTGATTAGAAGTTTGCACAACCAAGATCTGTTTGATTATATTTGGGTAAAGGTAGTGACTTAAGAGATCAATATTATATCTTGCATTAAAGCAAAAATTAGAAACTCTAGCATGGAGAATAAAGTTAGCATTATGGAAAGCACATTTAACAAGAGACTCTGGGAGTGGAGATCATTTATCATAATAAAAAGATATTTAATCTCATCTACTAACTTTCCAACCAACATGCAGCATTAACTTATCCCAACCTTTTCATATGCTATTACAAGTATAGGAGCAAGTGTTAGGTTTGACCACCATTGAAATTTTGGGTTTGTTGCACTTGTATTTATTTCATAAAATCCACATCTAAAGGCAATTAGGTTTACTGATAAAGCCCCAATAAAGCTTCACAATAAAAGCAATATTTTAATTTTTACACTTCTTAAGGTCAAGTCCCTCATCTTTTTTGTCCTTCATAATGCAATCTAAAGAAAAAAGATGAGATTTTTTATTACCATTAGATGAATCCCAAAGGAAATTTCTAAAAAGTTTTTTCTAATTCAAATAAAAACACTATCAGGTAAAAGCATGGTTTGCATGATATAGTTAGGAAGAATCAAAATAACATATTTGATAAGTACATATTCTCCAGCCATGTTCAAATCAGCTTTTCAAACTATAAATTCATCTTATCAAGAAGAGAGTCAAAGGTAAGTTTAGAAGCCTTTTCATGAATAATAGAAATCTTAAGGTATTTTTCAAGATTGCCTATGAGATAAATTCCTAACTCAACACTAATTTTTGTAGCTCTGTTAATGCTGACATTCTTCAAACAGAAGAGTTTGGATTTATTAGTATTTATTTTCTATCTAGAGGCGTTGCAAAAATCAGAAAGGTAGTGTTGCATGACCCTAGCTTGAGATAAAGAATACTCTACAAAAAGTAGAAGGTTGTCAGCAAAAAATAAGTAAGAGATAGGAAGCCTATTAGTTGTTAGTCTAATTGGCATCCATTCTTTGTTATCAATGCTACTATTAATGTAACGGTTTAAGCGTTCAATGCATAGTATAAAAAGATAAGGAGAAAGATGATCCCCTTGATAGACGCCACTTGAAGGTGTGACTTCATTAGATGGTTCTCCATGTCAAAGGACTCGCATATGTGTGTAATAGAGATGGTTGTTTGGATCAATTTCTTGAAGTGACTATTAATCTCAATGGATTTGAAAGTATCATTAAAGAAGTTATAAGATAATCTATTGAAAACCTTCTCAAGATCCACCTTAAGAGTCATAAAAACCTTTTTACCCATTTTGTTCCTTATGGAATGAATGACTTATTGGGCAATTTTAATATTATCACTACTCTGTTGCCCTTTTATGAAACTGCATTAGTTATCACTGATTAAGTGGTTCATGCTTGTATGAAGATGATTGGATAGTATTTTGATGATAATTTTATAGCTAACATTACAGAATGATATAGGACGAAAATCTTTTATGCAAGTGAGATGATCATTCTTAAAGATTAGAATAATGAAAGTGTCATTAATTACTTCAATAGTTTCAAGCTCTTTAAAAACTTTTTTGACTTATTTGATAAAAGATAACTCGTTATTGGTTCAGTTATCAATAAAAAATTGTTGCACCTAGTACCAAGTAAAATTGAAAAACCACATACCTCGCTGCCACATCACCACACCCTTTCCTCCATGCTATTCTTGTGCCTATTTGGATTTCAGTTGGGTATAATAGATTATGAAAATAATTGATTAAGTGATAAATTTTAATCATAATTGATTATCTTATAACGCAATCTACTTGGATATTATTTTTCTAAAATTAATTTTAACAGAATTGAAGATGTCTGAATAATTTATTCAAAATTAATTTTTACTGTATAAATTACTATAAAAAACATTGCTTTTTAAAATTAAATTATTAATATATTTGTATCTAATATTATTAAATTTTTTAAAATTTACTTAATAAGTAAAATATATTATTTAAATTACATATCTAACTAATTATAAAAATTTAAATTATATTAATATTAACAATTTAATTTACGTAAATAAATAACTCAATATATCTTAGTTTAAATAAATTTAATAAAAGAGAAAGATTTAATTCTTAAATGCCAAACATTAATTTTACAATAACTAATAAAGATAATAATATATAAATTAATTTCTAATAACATCATAGATATAAGCCATATCTGACAAAAATGTTAAGCATTACTTTAAAATTTTGGCAATATAAAAAATTAAGTAATGTAACAAATGATGCAGAATCTCTTTCTTGAGACCATTACAACAATCTTTGTTATGACACTAAATTAAATTAATTTTCCTTCACCAATTAATATCTTATTTGAATTTGTTCTACAATAAGTACTAAGTGGAAGGTGATGGTTGATAGAAACTAATTATGTTAGCAATTTTTTTAAAGATTTAAAATTTAAATTTTATGAAGAAAAAAGAAAGAGAAGAGAACAGAGTTTGATTTTTTTTAATAAAATTTTATGCCTTTCTTATAATTTTTTTTGAGCCCTTTTTTGTAATTTCTCTAATACTTTTTTATCAGCATTTTCAGAAAAGCTCAAAATCTTGGCTTTTGAAAAAAAAAATTGATTTTAATGGTTGAAATCAATTTTTTACTTTTTCAAGTGTTTGGCTAATAAACCAAATAATCGATTTTTTTGAGAACAAAGTCGATTAAACCCTATCCAAACAGGCACTAAATAAACAGGCCGTGAGTAATCAATCATAACGATCAACTCATATAAGTGGCGCATCTTTTGGGGGAAGTAAACAACAGGATGTTAATACAGAGATGGACCCGTCTCTATCATTTAAGGTTTTAAGCCTTAGAAAATTGGCAACATGTATTGATATTTGATAATCTTGTAATCAAACTTTGTTTAGGAGGCTAGAGTAGATAACCTAGGCATGTACGCACTCTAAGTTGTTGTCATGCAAACGTTTACGATGAGAATAAATTAGAGAGGGCTAGATTTGTAAAAATAAGCAGTATTGAGATATATATTTAAAAAAACGTTTGTTAAAAGCGTTCAGTGGATCATGCAGGTTCAGATATTATTTTTTAATGTGAAAAATAAAGATTTGAGGGTTATACTAATACCACCCTCTTTACTGTCCCATAATGCACAATATCCCAGCCTTCGTTTAAGAAAATCAAATAAAACTTTTTTAATCATTGACCAAGTGAATGTCTGAAATTTTGAACGTCAGGACAGGAAGGTAAACACCTCATAATTCGTTAAAAAAAAAAAAAACATGATCGATGAAACCCTGACCTTCTTCTTCCTTTCTTTAAAGGCAGGTAAAATCCAAGATGAGGATTGTTAACACGTTCTTGTTCGGGAAGAATATAAGCCTTCCATGATTGTTAAACGTAATCTTCAAAAAATTGTCACATCCTTTACCAAGGAAAAAGGTAATGAGGATTAAAGAACAATCAAATAATCTCTGCGAAGAAATCTAATGCCCTCTTATTTTGTGGCAATAGCAGCCATGCTTGACGAGGATGGTAATACTAAGCAACCACAAGTAATAATAATGCTTATGCAAAGAAGGGGAAATCCCGAGAAGCTAGGGGTTTATAATAAAAAAAATAGATGGATAAAAAAAAATGTCGCTCAAAAAGAAACATGGGAAACAAATTAGAAATTTCCACACAAGTTTACAAAAAGAAAAGGCGTGCCTAGGATAGCCCAAGCAGTAATGAGTTCTATCGAAGGTGGTATTTATTTAGTGGCTCGATTTCTAGAGAAGAATTATCTTTATCAATTGATAGCGTTAGTAGTGTTGAGAAAAATTATGAAATGGACAACGATAATTTTAGACTCAGCCTAACCGCCACTCCTTTATATGAATCTTTGCCAAGTTCGTCAGGGTTGTTGCACATGTGATCCCACTACAATGTGCATTCATGTCTGCCTTGCTCCAAGCATAAGCATCCAGCATGTTGATATCAAGCAAGTGGCAACCAAAGAACTCACCTCTCTATTCGCGCCCATGTAGCTTTATCTCAAACAAGGACTAAAAGGTTGAGAGACTGATTTAAAAATAATTTTAGATGAATAAACATTATAATGCACATGTTTTTCTTTCTTTTTTTTAATCTTGTCAACTACTAAATGGTTTCATATTAAATACCAAAGAGTACGTGTTAATGAAAGAATAATTACTTATTAAAATATGATACATACTTGTACACAATAAAGTTCTTTCATAAATTCTTGAACTCATCAGTTAGCGAATGACTTCTTATTAAATGTGAATAGATATTTATTAATTAATGAATAACTATTTGTTGAAATATAATGTACACGTATTCTGTTACACAACTAAGTTATTTTATATTTTTAAACTTGTCAATTAGTGAATGGCTTCTTGTTGAATATCAATGGACACTCATTAATTAATGAATAATTATTTATTGAAACATGAAACATACTTGTCCTCTTATCACAACCAAGCTCTTTCATATTCTAAGATTTGTCAATTAATGGATGATTTATTGTTACATGTGAATGGATATTTATTAATTAATAATTAACTACTTATTATTTAATGAATGGTTACTTATCAATTGAAAAAACAAAGGCAAGGGAAGGGAATTATAGTATTTTTTTCATCCAAAGCTTTTTTTTTTTCAAGTCAGTTCCTTAATCTTATAAAGATATTTTATAATCTTTTGGTATTAAATACTCTAAGCGGTTCATGAACGATATTTTTCCTAAAGTTAAAACTCATATAATTTTTGCTTTCACTTGAGTCATTTTCACCGATATTTTTATGAAAGTATTTTTTTTAATTAACCCATGGAATTGGGTGAACGGAGAACTTTTGTTTGACTCATCCATCGACAACCATAAATAAAGAGAAACCACGTCATCATTCATTGAATGATCATAAATATCCGGGAGATCAAGTTTAAGAAAAAAAATAATGATAATTAAATTTCTGATAAAAATTTTTAAAAAAATTAATTATAAATATTGATTCAAATATTTATAAATTTAAAAATTTTAATTATAAATATAATATTTAAATTCTAAATATAATAATTAGTTTACAATTTAAATTTTTATTTATTATTGTTTAAATTGATATTTATTCCTCTGGTCTTATTTATAAGTTATTTTTAACATATTTTACCAACATAAAAAAAACTTAAAATTTATTAACTTTATTTTAAAATTTAATAAATTTTTAACTTTATCCCTATTAAATATATATTTTAATAATATATTTTTTCTTCCCAACATTCAATTTAGATTAAAAGAGAAAACTTATAATAAAAATTTAATAACATGATTTATGAATAAAATTAAAAAAATTCTTTTCTTTCTGCCTTATAAATAGGATCGGAGAGAATATAATTTATTGCACAAAATTTTTTGTTAAGAATTTAACTGTCACTAATTTTTTTAAAAATTTTATTATTATTTTACCTAAATATAATCAACTAGGATTTGACTTAATAGAAAAAGCTACTACTTGACAAAGTTATGAATCAAGATTTGAATTACCATTGAAGAAAGTTGATCACGTTTAATATCCCAGCCATGCTTAGAATAAAATTGGCCTGGACCTGTCTACAATTTTTTAAAAATTTCTTGGAGGGGCGTCTGAAGTATTTTACTAAAGCCACGAGGCGTTGAGCGAATAACGGGAACTAGCGTACCCTGAACCTAGTGAAAGTGATGGAACTTTCTTTCTCGTTCGTCACGTTTGGGCTCGTCCTTCTTCCGTTGCTCATTAATCAAATTATCCGTGTCTGGGCATTCTCTTCTCCGCTTTAGCCAAAACAAGAGTACACTTTAGTCTACATCTGAGATTGCCCTGCGAACATATTGTGATTACCAGTATGAGATAGTTCTTGAGTGAAGAGAATGATAGGTGAACAAAAAATTCTGAAATGGCTTATTCCTCTTGTTGCGATTTTACACCGAGTTGGGTCTCTTAACTTCGCCCTTGCAGCCTGCGACTTCAGTTTTCATGATGGAAACAGGATTTATAACTATACCTTGACTTCTCCTGTGCGGGACTTCCCCCACGGCGTTCGCAGTGAAGATGGGTGCGCCTTCCGCCCCTCTATTTTCTCTCTCTGTTTTTTTTTTGGCTTGATCTGGGCGAAATCCTCGATTTATATTGTCCAATATACGTTTCATTGCTATTGATTTGGTGTGGTTTAATGTATCCCTGCTGTTTGTCGTTTTGGGGAGTTTATTTATACGAATCTTATATTTGTTGCTTTGACGAACCGGTGTTTTTTTTTTTTTTAAATATATACCATTCTCCGTTGATTTTTGCTCCAATTGGCTAAATTAAATGTAGAAAAATCCTCGGTACTGCATAAGTAACGTAGCAATATAACCTTTTAAGTGGCTTTAAATTTCAAAGGAGCTAATAGTACTGAAACTTAATTGTGTGGCGGGTGTTGGAAATTATGTCTAGACTTTGTTTCTTCTCTTTCTGGGTGATTACTCAATGTTAGCACTTCAAATGATAGACTGCTTCTATCACTGTGGGGAAAAGACTGTCACTGTATTGATCTCAATTTTAACATGCAATATTTTTGTACAGGGCTATGTACCAGGAGTCTAATTTAATTGATATGTTTCTGGTAACGAATTTCTTTCACTCACTCACTCACTCATTTATTTTTGCTTGTAGATATTACAAAGTGGCAGCAAACGAGACCATCCTATGGTTTCAGGTTGGCTTCATCAGGTCACACTTAATTCTTTGATTTCAGTAAGGTTGATTAGTAATAGCTTTTGGGAAAATAAATCTGTTTCTCTTCATTGCACAAAAATAGATATACATAAAGTCTATTATACTCTTGTTGTCATTACTTACCTTCTTTTGCTATTATTAGTTTTATTTTTCATTTAAGGACTTAAAGGGCATTTCCAAACTATAAAATCACTTTTTTCCCTTTGCATGTTTATTTTCATCCCACTCTATTATGCTTACCAAACTTGCTCTCAGTTGTCAGCAATTGTACTTTTACTATATCTATCATCTTCAGCCATAACTAGTAATATGACAAAAGAGATTTTTCTCTCTCCCTTCCTTTGGGGCTCTAGCACACTGACTTTGTAAATAGCACCATGCTTATTTTTTATGCACGCTCCTACAACTGCAATGGCTGAATTGTCATTGCGGTAAATGCAAGGTGAAACACTATACTTGGATTGTCTATGAAGAGATGCACATTTCAAACATAATGTTTTCTTTTTCATCAGCAATACTGACCTTTTGTGTGTTTCATGCCTAGCTATAATTGAGTTTTTTTTTTTTTTTGGGTTCTTGGTTGTTTGGTGCAGCTTTGTGATGGGATGATTTTCAATCATGACCCTCCTACATGTGTTGACTGCTGGGTAAATGCTTCACTTCACAGTCCAAGCTATTTTATGCGTCAAACTTGATAGACTGGCCTATAGTTATCTTGATTTTGTATTTTCCATCCTTTGCTAGATTGATATAATATTTAATAATGCCTTGTATGTCTTGCTCACCCTCTTATGGAGTAAAAATATCCATGCTTCTTAGCTTCCTTGAAGACGTCTGGAGTAAAAATGATTTTTGACAGTTGAGTTAATAAGTAGCGAACCCTTTGTTTATATGAAGCTTCAACACATTCATACTTCCTTTCCTATGAATATGCACTTAGAGTAAGAAGCCAGCAACAAATAACAATAAAGGCATGCTACTTAATACTTACGATAGAAAATTATTAGATTAGTTACCTTGTAAATAAGCTTTAAGCATGCTTTGGCATCATATTGTACTGATATGCTAGATTATGCTGGTAAATTATGATTCTATCAACTTTAACTGATTCAAATAAGTCTATCCAGTTTTTTTTCCTAGACAAAACAGTGTGTTGATCTGTTCCTCTGAGTTGAGGTGAAATGGTGGACCATAATACTGACTACTCACAGTAAGAACAATATTAACATTCTTGTCGCTTTTGAAAGTCCTGGCTTTTTTCTTTTTCTTTTTACAAAAAAGGTCCTCGTTGTCATGCAGAATTCATGGACTGTTTTTGGTTTTACATGATGGAACATTCAAAGCCTTCCTTTGCTTGTTTTGATAGTTATTATTTTGTTCTATATTTTCACAAAATTGTTTACTTATTTGATTGCTTCATTGCATGACATAGGATTGTGGAGGGCCTATTCGGTGTGGAATGGATTGCACTGGACTTGTGGCAAACAACATTGGAGGTAGAACTTGTGACATGCTGTAACTGTAAATACTTATGTTTGCCTCCATGAAATTAGATGTGTCTAGTATCTTCTAGCGGTTGTTGCAAGGGCAGCTTGTTATACATCATTAATGGAATTATATGATTCAATGAATAAATGAAATGCTTTACCTTGCCACTAAATTTCACCTATTACTAGAAAATTTTTTCTTAACTTACGAAAGACCCCCCATTGAGGAAAAAGTAATCTAGCTAATTCATACTCTACTTTTGTTGTTAGTAGATGTTCTCTCAGTACAGGTCAATAGATTTTGCTGCTAATGAAAGTCATTCTGTTAATTGGCGGTGCCCCATGAAAACATTAGATGTTTGTACAAACTGGCTCTTGATAACTTCTAACCGGAAAAATTGACAATTATGTTCTTCCCTCTGCATGCTATCTGTATTGTACAAAGAACCTTTAGCCTCACATCTGTTGGGACCCTAATGGGCCAAGACTGACTTACTTGGGTTGTGAGGTGTGGATTGTGAAAGGGTGAGAGAGAGGTAGGGCCATTGATAGGGGATATGTGAGAATTTTTTTTTTTTTTTTTGGTGGGGGAGGGTTTAGTGAGAAGGAGGCAAGAATTAAGATAGCAAGAGGAGACTTCTCTAGCCGTTTGAATGCCAGGGAGCATTTTCTTTTGTTCTCTGTTATCTTCCTTTTACTGCTGATTATGTTCCGCTGCTGTAAACCAATCCTCATTGATTCCTTTGAATGTGATAGGATTCTATAATTCATTGTGTTACATAGCTGAAGGTCATTCGTGTCATCTGGTTTTGGGTTTCATCAACATCTATATGTAGTTACTTGTTTACCTTATTTAATGTTTCCATGCATGAAGTGAAAGACTTATTTTTGCTTTGCAGAAGTTATTTGGAAAATGGATTTACTTCGGATGTCGGAATCAGAATGAAGTTGGTTTAGGTTTTGAATGTACTCATGTAGAGTTACCTCACCATCAGTTGGCCAAGTCTGTGGGTTGTGAGAAATTGAGAATTGGAATTAAAATGATGTCTTTACTTACTATAATTCTTGTTAATTCTTTTAATTAAAGAACATATCATATAGGGCATTTAGTTTGTATTTCTGTTAATGGAATTTTAACTGGTACTAGGTGGGAGTCCATCTTTTCTTAACAGTGTGATTAATGCAGGTTATCATGTATGCACAACCATAGGACGGGGCCCAAAAATAGATATTGATATATTTGGTAAGCTCAATGCTCCTCACTTTTTCTTCCTTTTAGTTTTATTTACTTCAGATGGTGCCTTAATGTAATTTTTACTGCTTGGTTGGTGCTTGTCTTTCTGTGTTTCATTGCATTGCTGTTCATTTGAACTGAATCACTAATTGTGAGCATAGCTATTGTGCATTCATGATGGCCAAAAAAAAATAAAAGCTGTTATGCATTCACGGTTTTAATGCTATTCTCATGGCAGATAAGAAAAATCCCGACAGTGGTGTCATTGTTAAGATGTCAAGCAATAGCCCTAATCTAAATTGTTCGCTGTCGGTGTCTGTGCTATGCTGCTCAAATGGTGTTCAAGTAATTTTTTCCCCCGTCTATTTCAGTTTTTGTTGAATAAATTGAAATCTTTTGTATTTTGTGCTTCAGAAATATGTCTCATTTTGAATCTTCTGCTTACAGGGACCGCGCTCTCTGGAGAGATTAGGGACCTGTAACTATGTGAGTACTCTGTTTAGGGATTTTCTATTTTTAGGTTCCTTGATTGTTATTTAATTCTATTTTATGGAGAATTTTTAACGCTCTCTCTTTTTGTAACCATGTGTGGAATAAAGTGCATTTGCTATTTCATAAAAGTCCTAAGATTAGAAATGGAAAATCAATGGCAATTGTCGAAAATCTGGACCATATTGAATATGTACTCTTTGTATCATCAAGAATAACATGATTGATATTGTTGCATGGTTCCATTTATCTAGCTTACTAGTAGGTTATAATAACTTCATAATTTTTATCAAATTGACATGGTTGTCCATTTTGAATTAGTGGGTATGAATCTTGTGATTTCTTGTCTATTTATCTTGGAAGCACTCTAGTATAAATAATAATAAATTAATCTTTCATTCCCTTCATTAAAATGTGCTAAGCATGGCTTGAGAAATAAAAACGATGATTGTGCAAGAGCTAAAAGTGGAGATTTGAAGATGAAATTTGGTATCATCTGATTGTTCCTTATTCAAATAATCCTCTTGTATGACTTTATTAAATTCAATGGTTTACAGTGATTTAGCTGTTTTATATGTTAATAACCTTTTTTCTTAAGCAGGCTGCAGAGCTGAAGCATCCATCTGGATGTGCCGTTATCTTAAATGTTCATGAAAAAGGGTGGGGGTGGTTTGTCACCTTAATAACCACGTGAGGATTCTACCTTCTCACCCAATACTTTTAATTGCTACAAATTTCTTTTATTTGGTCAATGTTAGTTTTATTTTGATTGTTTGGCTCATCTCATTTCAGTGTCTTATGCCTTTGTGGAGTATATCTACTGGCTGGCATAGTTTATCGGCATTTCTTCCTTGGGATTCGTGGTATAGATGTATGTTTCTCACTTGTCCTACTTGTTGCTGTATGCCTAGTGGTAATTATATCTTGGTTGGTGAATTCTCCTACTACTTTGTGATTAAGTCCTAACTTTTGTTGGCATGCTTAGTTCTCATGAAATCGGTTGTCTCTGGTCTAGTTCTTTTTTTCCCACCGGCCATGTCTCTGGTCTAGTTCATACGCATGAGGAGCAAAAGATCTTGGAAGAGTTAATTTAAATCATCACATATCTTGTTCCCCCACATTAACTGTCTGCTAGCAATGCATGATTCCGGAAAAAGACTCCACTTAAATCATCATAATGTGATGGTACTGTTTTTTTGAGGGTGAATCTTTATCTGAGGATGCATTAGTTCTGTCTTGTAGGGGTTTACTGATTTCATATTTGTTGTCATCTGTCATCTGTTATCTGTGTTGGTAAAGTTAACTATCATTGCTTACTTTTTTGGATTACGATCTGTCGGTGAGAATTGCAATACAATAATTGTTTATAATGCTTATCAGAGCGAGCAACTTTTTATGGTTCTTTACCGTAATTTGGACTGAACTATAATTTTATTTCCCCTGTATTTCAGGTCATCCCCAATTTGGACTTCTGGTCAACCTTGCCCCGAAGAACCCAGGTATTCTCCACTTCAATACTTTCAAGATCAGCTTTTTAAATCTGACATCAGAGGGAATACGGGATGAACAAAGCTCATACTGACTTGGCGGAGTTGAAGTCTGTTCTATAATTATGGTTTTGTACTTTGTCTTCGCAGGCTCTTTGTGCTTCTTTGGTGAGGAAGTTTAAGGGACCTTCTCAAGGTTACCGGAGCTCATATTCTCCTGTGAACTTCTGAGGGCGATTTTTTTTTTTTTTTTAAATCGTTCTGGATTCATTACGGACCATCGCGTATGTGCACGATGGTTCTGCAGAGAAGTGCAAATAAGTCGCTTTTCAGATACCCCGCTGGTCAGATCCAGATGCATCCTTTGGGACAGAACCTTGAAATCTATGCCTCTTGCCTTGACTCTTTACCCCATGAATTTGGTGCTTTCACATCCTTCTATCCCCCCTTAATTTTTTTTTTCAGAGAGAGAAAGTGGAAGAAGGAATTGAGAAAATTAAGAAATTCTTGAATGTAATTTTATGGGGAAATTGGTATAATAGCAGAGTTATGATGACAATCTCAAGTGGCATTTGAGTGAATACGGCTTGTCTAAAATGATCGTTTCTTTGCCTTTGTTGACTTTCCCTCCAGTTTCCTGCTAAGCTGCTTAAGTTGATATGGTTAATTTATGAACAGATTGGATTTGAAGGATTGTGCTTATCTTGACGCCTCAAGTGCTGAAGTGCGACACATAATAAAATGAAATAAAATGAGAATGAAGTTGGGAAAAAAATATTTTGCAGATATGAAATGTGTTTTATAATCCTGAATTAGGAAAACATGAAGAAATAACGATTATAAGGATGTAATAAGTATTAAGTATCTAAATTTACATATCATGAAAAACAAACCATTTTTCATCTAAATCAAAGGGCATAAATAACATGGTGTACATGATTTATACAAGAATTTCTTATCTAGTAGTTGATATATTTCAATTGCGGTGAGGGTGAATTAATTAAATCCTTTCAAGTGATTAGGTGATCGTGATCGTTTGTGGATGGCCAACGAATAAAAAAAAAAGGATAAACATTTTAGATCCCATACAAGCCGTAGGATATGGGGACCAAGAACATAGTCAAAGACTTCGGTTAGTCCCAATCAACCGGTTCTATTCTTCTTCTTCTTCTTTGGTATTCCTTCTTTCTAAAGGGAAAAAAACAAACAAACAAACAAATAAAGAAGTTTTTGCTATGGCAAGACAAAAAAAAATTGAACCTACATCAGCCATTTGTTTAGACACACGCCTCATGAAAAGCTATTGCTAAGACGAACTAAGGACTACATCCTCTTCCACTGGACACTATCGATATATCTATAAAAAGTATAAATTTTAAGTTAGATCATTCATGAATGGGTTATAAATAGTGTTCGGTCGTGTCTTATTTATAAGACCATATCTATTGATCCTTAATATAACTCTGCAAAATTTAATCAATTATTCGTAATAAATTTTGTGAAAAATCCTTATCATAGCAATCAAAGGGTTGTTTGGAAACGTTGTTAATTTTTTTTTTTTTTACATTTAACTATTTCAACTAATTTCTATAATCTCATGAAAGTGATTAAAAGGATCTTAAAAAAAAGATCGAAGGAAGTATAATTCATTTTTTAAGTCTTTGTAATAAACAAAAAAAAAAGTCTGATTATTTTAATGTTACAAATAGATTACTGATTAAGTTGTTTATCTAACAACATAAACACCATAAGTGATCTGTATAGTTGGGTATGGCGGGTAGTGGTGGCTACTGCAAAGAGAAGAATCGGGTAGATTGACTACAAATATAGAAATATTGTAAAGCTAAAAAATATTTAATTAGGTGGAGATTAGTTTAGTACACAAGTTTATATAGTTGGCGCATCGCTTTAGCACTTTTTGGATGTCCAGGCACGCATACCAATAATGTAAATGCTGTGTCGTATGTGTGGATGAATATTAAAGTAAGGAAATTTAATTTCCAAATGAAAGCAAAGGGTGAACTAATGCGCCTCTCTAATTAGCTTCCCTCAAAACCATATGTATCATAAATTAATAATGGTCCCTCTGGTTGAAACTTTTTTTATGGGTTTAGTTGGTACAATGATTTTATATGACAAAAAGGCAAAGTGATTATGGTTCGCAATCTTACTCCTCAACCTTAGCTTTGAAGCCAAGCCAGGCTGTCCTCCTCCTCCCTCTTGCACCATCACATCATCTTGATCGTTCGCAATCCACCATACCCTTTATCTTTCTTTTATTATGTTCATGACTTCCAACTCTTGCTGTCTCTCTCAGGAAAGCAGAAGGAAATTAATTACTTGACACGAGTATACTTATAGAGATTTTATTCTCACTCACACAAAATGAATAAATAAAATATTTCATTGACTAACATGTAAACGTGCATATGTTTGCATATAATACATTTTTCGCATATTTATCTCTTGATTAGACATGCATTAACAAGTTTCGTTATTTATAACCCCTGAACAGTGGAATTTTATATTATCTTGATTGGTATAATGACTTGTGAACTTATTTGGAAAATAAGCAAGTGAATGATAGATGACAGTGAGAGGATGACTTGCTTAATCGAAAGTATACACGATATGGTACCGTGTTTTCCCCCTTTTAACCCAACGTGTTTTGATGGTTGCTTAGCTTGGGTGCAATGTAGGCTCAATTATTTATTTGCAATTACCACTCGTCACTGATTCATTTCACCTATAAAACTTGTTAATATATTAAAAGGGCAAAAAATTATAATGGAGGTATGAATGAGAATGAGTGTTGTATATTAATTGACAGAGGAGGAAGAGGTGGCAGGGTCGAAAAGCGACAGTGGATGCGAATGAAATGAAGACGCCCTTCTCACTGTCTCCGTCTCCGTCCTCTCTTCTAAGGAACAAGGCTTGCTTCTCTCCCTACCTCTTCACCCTCTTGGTTTTCATTTTCTTCGTCGCCATACTCTATGGCGAGGACTTCATCTGCATCTTCGGCCAGCAGCTACAACTCTACCCCAACCCTCACGCCTTCTTCTCCTCACCCGGTCAGTTCACACTTCCATTCTAAATTTAGTCCTTCCCAACATATTATACTTGTCAATCTGAAATGGGTTGTGATCCTCAATGGCGGGGTTGCGAAGAGAGAGTGAAAAGGCAAAAGCTTCCGTTTGCGATAGGGAAAACAGAGGAAGGGTGCGACGTGTTCAGCGGGAGGTGGGTTCGGGACGAGGCTAACCGGCCTCTCTACAAGGAGTGGGAGTGTCCCTACATACAGCCTCAGTTGACTTGTCAGGCACACGGACGCCCCGACAAGGATTATCAGTTTTGGAGGTGGCAGCCTCACGCCTGCGATCTTCCCGAGTACGTGCTTCCTAACCTCGCTCCCTCTTCCTTTAATAAGTCTCTGTTATCGAAAGCAACCTCATTGTGCAGATTCAATGCGAGTTTGATGCTGGAAACGCTTCGCGGCAAGAGGATGATGTTCGTCGGAGATTCTTTGAACAGGGGTCAGTATGTCTCTCTGGTCTGCCTTCTCCATCGACTCATTCCCGAGGATGCCAAGTCCATGGAAACCTTTGACTCCCTCACCGTCTTCACTGCCAAGGTACCGTTTCATTTTATCCTCTCAATCTCTTGCTTCAACCTTGATTCCTCCTCTTCTGCTTCTTCATCTAAGAATTACTCTCTGTGTGATTCACATTTGATAAGGAATACAATGCCACCATAGAGTTCTACTGGGCGCCATTCCTTCTGGAATCCAACTCCGACAACGCCGTCGTCCACAGGATATCCGATAGGATCGTGAGAAAAGGTTCGATCAACAAGCACGGTCGCAATTGGAAAGGTGTAGACATTCTGGTGTTCAATACCTATCTCTGGTGGATGACAGGCTTGAAGATGAAGATCTTGTACGTTTTCTCTTTTTCCGTTTTAACATGCCAATCGCAGTTTCTGATTTGCAGAGAGAAGGAACCGGAACTAAAACGATGGTGTGAAAAATGGGCAGGCTGGGATCATTTGACGATGAAGCGAAAGAGATAGTGGAGGTGCCAACAGAGGATGCGTATCGCATGGCCATGAAAAGTATGCTGAGGTGGGTGAGGCTGAATATGGACCCGAAGAAGACCAGAGTGTTCTTCACCAGCATGTCTCCTTCTCATGGCAAGTGAGTGGCAGTATGGATAACACACACACACACACACACTCACTTGACAGTCGAGAACTGAACAACTTTGTAATGTCTGCACTGACGCACGCTTGGGCAAAATGGCTGTGACGCGGAGACAGGAGCATAGACTGGGGAGGAAGAGAAGGAGGGAACTGCTACAACGAGACGAGGATGATAGAGAATGCCACGTACTGGGGATCAGATTGCAGGAAGAGCATAATGCAAGTGATAGGGGAGGTGCTGAGGAGGACGAGGGTGCCGATAACGTTCCTGAACATAACGCAGCTGTCGAGTTACAGGAAAGACGCGCACACTTCCATTTACAAGAAGCAGTGGAGCCCCTTGACTGCAGAGCAGCTAGCCAACCCCGTCAGCTACGCGGATTGCGTCCACTGGTGTTTGCCTGGCCTCCAAGATACTTGGAACCACCTCCTTTTTGCCAAGCTCTTTTATCCTTGACCCCTTCCTTGTCTTCACCTACGCTTTGCCTCTTTTTTTTTTTTTTTTTCTTTTTGGTAACACAAGAATGCAATGCATTATTCCTATTAGTCTCGCTTCCCGTACTAACTGCACCTTACTAAATGGGCGTTACGTTCGGTTCGCTGTAAAGTGTTCAATTGCTCGTGCCAAATTGGGATTCTTGGCCCAACTAAAGCCCAAATTTCTAAACCCATTTAGATTTTCTCAATTGATTCAGCCCAACCGAAAAAAATAAAAATTGCTCAACGAGAATATGAATGCAGAGATAGGGGCGTGGTTTACCGGTCAACAAGCCTTACGGTGTCTTGTGTTGTATCAACCCCTACCCCTCTCCTCCTTTGAACAATTGAGCAATTGAGGAGACCTAAATGTCACAGTTCACAAACTAATACTATTATAGGCCCCTCCGCAATTGAGGAGACCTAAATGGAACTTTTAACTCAACCTTTTATATTATTAATTATTAATTATTAATTTATATATATTTCTTGTGCTATAATACTTTCTCCGGATCCAACAAGAGGACGGGAATTTAAAAGAAAACGAAGGGCCACCGCGGCTGATTTTGATGGCGTAGATATAATGCTATATCATCCCAACCCGACCACCAACAAAACGAATGACGACGACAAAAGCCCGCTCGTATTAAATAAACATCAAATTCAACTGAATGACCCCCCACCCTTTTCTCTCTGTATGTGTTTCTTTTAATGAGTTTATCAAATTTGGATTTGATAACTGTAAATACTAAATACTTGTATTATCTCAGTAGTTGAAGTTTGTATTAATGGTTGAAATAAATTCATTTATTTATTTTATTAGGAGTCTGAATTTAGAATTATTAATTTAATTTTAATAATTTAAATAATACAAAAATTTAATAACTATATTAAATATAATTATCGAATTTAAATCCCAGTCCATTACATGGCACGCCACGCACACGTACGCCATGGATACATTGCATGGCACGAGCAAGAACAGTACGAGGTCCCCCGAGAAAATTCTGTGACGATCCGGTGGGCCCTTTCTGAAATCATCGTCTCCCCGCCTCAGCGCTTGCCTCACCCCTTCTTTTTGTGCCCTTCAAAGCAGAACCTGGACCAGAGCTCCTCCATTGTCGCTGCGCCTCTTTTCCATATTCCATTTCCAATAACCCAAAGAGTAAGCAAACCATATCCCCAATTGACACGCGAAGCTTCAGTTTCGGAAAGCACCCTCCCCTTTATTTCTTCCGAACTAAAATCGCTCCTCTTTATCCTTTCTCAGTTTTCCATTTTGCCTTTTTCTCAAATTAAATACGTCCTTGTGTATCCATATGTATGGTTCCGAGATTGTATACATCATACATGTTTGACGATCATCAAGCACATATTTTTTAAGCACGTGCACTGTATCCATTTCCTCCTCCGCGTGGGTCGGTATTTTACGATATTCCTTTCTGGCGGCCGGGAAAAAAATTTCAAATCCTCCTTTTTCTCCCCCAAATATCTTAGAGTGGAAGATGTTTCTGAGGATCTCATGCATCCGTGCGAATCATTTTCGAAGCTCTGGTTTTGCTCAAAGCAGCTATCAGCCGGTTCTTAGAAAATTCAATCATCCACGTCGCCGTGCGTGTCTGTACGTACATTGTGGTATTCATAGAAGAAGCTTAGCCAGGAAAGAAAAACCGAACTATACTCTTTACGGGGGGAAAAAACAAGAAGAGCTATATTTGAAGTGCTGTCAAGAGGTGACTGATTATCGAGGGACGCCTACTACAAGACTCATTGAGATATATATTGACTTCTGGTTTCGATCTCATTAGGGTTAATTATTTAAACAGTGTAGTCATATATTCAAGCGCACTGATATTTTGTCCCCCAGACGAGGGTTTTTTGGATCTGCTCAACTGGACTGCCCCGGGAGCATACATATGGAGCTAATTAACTGGACGTGTCCGTTATTAATTTTTTATTATTTACCTCTGCCATCCAAGTCTATATAATTCCAAATGTACGAGAAAGAAAGTGGATGGTGGATTTCACGAAAGGATGGTCGGCATGGTCTTCAATTTGATATTTATTTTCGAAGCCGTGATTTCGAGCGAAGGCTTTATTTCCTTTTAAAACCATGACTGAAAATTTTGATCCCAGCGACGCGTGAGCAGATAAGAAGATGGACTATTACCATGCAAAGAAAAGCTACAACATAATTTTCACTGATTGAACGACCGCAAGCTGTTTTGGCATTCCGTTAATGTGTAACAAAATAAAAATTTTAATTTTTTTTTAAGCAGAAAGATTTGCCTGCGACTATTCGAAAGCAGCTTTAATTTTCTCTGGTGGTTACGGAGCTAATTAATAATAAAGACGACCTCATTGTCTGAAACAAATAATATTTTTAAAATGAAAGTAAAAGGGAAACAAGCTCGTGGCCGGTTGGATCGGAGAAGGAGGCAAAAAAATGGACGCGATTCAAGTCGTATAATGTAAAATGAAATATGAGGGGGAAGAACGGAAACGGGGGGCAATGTATGGTTTCTTTTTATATTCTAATTTCTAAAAGTTGAGCAAACAATGCAAAGGGCAAGAGGGTGATCATACACGTACGTTTCCTTGCCCACTTGCAAGCCAAGTTGCTATTCTTCCACCTGACAACTCATATTGTTCTTAATTAATTAGTTGTAATAATAATAAAATGCATCACCCAGAAAAAAAGTGAAAGAATAATAATGAGGGGGCCAGAGATTAACAACTTGACTTTGTTTACGTAACAAGTTGAGTTAAGCCTGCGCAAGTTGCATTTCAGACGTTGATTCTGTCTAAGGTTGAAAATAGGTTAAATAAGTCTAAACTTGTGTGATAAATCATATGCTTGAGCTTGGCCTAAAACTTATATAAATTTTTTTTAATGACTCAAATTTGAACCTTTTTAAAGCCCTGCCTAACTTAAAAATTTATTTTTTAAATAAGCTCGTATTTTAACTTTAAATGTCTCAATCACAATATATAATAATTAAAAAAACTTATCAACTATAATACAATAATAAAGTAATAATATCAAAATTAATAGATAAGTTTAATTTGATTGAAAACATAACTGAAAATAAAAAATATAAATTGATTAAAAATTAAATCGTGAAACTAATGTATGTCTGATGTATTACATTATATGTACGTATATATGTATATATGTAACTAGACCAACCTGCTAGATTCGTAGATTAGGCCCATTGATTGGGCCTTGAAAAAACTAGACTTAACTTATTTAACTAAATAGGCAGCCTAATTAAATACCAGAATCTAGAGTAAACAGGCTAATTAAGATAGGCCTTAAGTAAACCAGAGCAAAGGCTTTTAATAAGAATTTGTCTTATTTCCACCCCTAACTCTGCCATCTTTCAAATATTTGATGTGTAATTATTAATTGCTGTCATAATCTCCATCTTATCACTATCCTCCACCTTAATTTTATTCTTTTTTCTATACGTTCCCACTCTCCGTGCATGGATTTTCCACCGAATATCTTTCCTCTTCTCTCTTCCCTCGCTTATTTTATTTATTCTCATTTATGTCGGATATCTCTTCCTTCACTCATACCGTCATACGCAAATATATAATCACGACAATATTTATCGGATTGGAAAATTACTATTGGAAGTTTCGGTGCAACTTGTAGACTGCACAAAGCAACGCCATCGTCAGGCAACGATTCCCGTGCTCAAGGATCAAAGGATAAAAATAAAACCTCATCCCTTCCACAGCAATTAATGCTCCCAGCAAGACTTCGATGGGTTCTTTCCGTGTGTGTGTGAATGGCAACACATGATGCATATTTTTATCTTATACGATGCTAGAATCTAAGCTAAAACCACTAGTTCTTTTACATCTTAACAAATTGTCATAAAATCAATGTATATCCAAATCAACCAATGGCCGCTCATTCTTTTTCTTGTTGCGCTGTGCGTGACATCAAACACTGTGCATTCGAGGTTCTTCTCATTCGGTGCTTGAAATTTACAAAATCCAAAATCTCAATATTAAATGAGTCGATGTTGTAATAACCGAGTGTTTGATAAACAATGAATTATCAATCACACAGTGGATCCATCAACTCTATAACATTCTCGCTTACTTCGGTGACTTTAATGGATCTCTCGTTGACTGCTACTGTTTTAAACTTTACACAGCGCTTTCTCGAGCTGTGCTGTATGTTCATATCTGCTACATTTCGTTTCGTTTCGACGCACTTTCAAAGATGGATACGATCGTCATCCGTCGCCAAATATACGCACAAAATTAAAATTCTCAAAGTCTTATTGCATTCTTCATCTCGTTATATAAGCATTTTAAAAACTAATACGACCACATGACACGAGCGCAACACCGAAAAATTAACAACTGGATAGGCCGACAATGCAACAAAATCCTTTTGAGCCACTTATCCTAAAAAGAACTTTTAATTTAACGGACGGCTACAAAGGTATCCCACGTTCAATGCTACTACAAGAATGACCAGCAAGATAGCCTCGATCAGAAAGAATGGTTTGAACCAAAAAAAAGAATATAGAATTATATATATATATATATATATGAACACACATATATCACTCAATTATCATATATAGATATATACTTTCAAATTCAACCCTTTCCGTCTGATCGAGAGCCTTGCAAAAATTCTAACGATCTACCCATTAATTCCCAAATACGGGTTTCAGGTCATGGATGTCTTCTGACATACAAGATCCGAACCGTGTTGGAAAACAAAAAGACCCGAAGCACGCACGACAAGAACGAATAAGATGTCAAAGAAGGAGAAACAAAGAAGGAATCGTCACTTATATTGAGTATATATATTCACCGGGACAGTCGCTATTTCTCTTTGTGGTCCTTCGCGGCCATAGTCTCCGCGATCTGAGCCAGAGACTGCAAATTGCATCGCACTATCGTGTCGACGAAGACGCAGGTCTCTTCCTTGGTGTTACCCTGAGGGACGTCCACCTCGTACGATTCGATGACGAGCGTCCCGGTTTCGACGGCGTGCAGGGTAGTGACGGAACGGTAGTTCCGCAGGCGATGATCTCCGCCGACGACGCTGAAGCTGAGGACGTGCTGCTCGTCATCCAGGATGTCTAACCGCTCGGTGCTGGACACGGCGGGAAGTCCGGAGACCACGCGGACCTCGCGGAGCGTCCCCACGCGAATGCCGTCGCCCACGATGACCCGGCAGCTCTTCACGAAGTGCTTGTAGGCCTGGGGATTGTCGAAACGACGGACCACGGACCAGACGGTGTCGACAGGGGCGTCGATGGACTGGATGACGACGGAGCAGCACTGGTCGGGCCCCACTAAGTGGGCATGGCGGCAAGTGGTGGTTTCTGGAAGCGGGAGGCTGAGTTGAGCGGAGGAGATGGGAAGGAAGAGACGGTGGTGTTTGGGGCAGATGAAGGCGTTGGAGACGGTGGCGGGATTGAAGCAGTGAAGTTGCGGGGAAGATTGCATTTTGAGTATAGTGAAGTGTGGGAAGCGAGAGGCGGATTGGATGGATTGGGTTGGGGTTAAAAGGAGTGGCCGTATGGTATATATTATAAACGAAAGCAAAGGAGACGGTACTGTATGAGGTTGGGAGTAAATATTTTTGTAGTCCAAGTTGAATTAGTTTTGGGTTCGGGGTTAGAGGGGCCGACGGAGGGAGGGTTTGTTGCATTTGTTTATGGTGGTGCCGCCGCCGGTGGTGGTTGAGACTTGAAATGATATATTGAGGAGATTAGCTTACAAGCTATAGCTTCCGCGGCACTTATTTTGCAAGTGGATGCTCAACTTGCAACTGTATTTGGACCTGCTTTCGCCATTCCCTCCTTTTTCTTTATTTCAATCTACAACTTTGCCCCTTTTCCTTGTTTTTATGTCATTATTATCATGGCAGCTTGCGTTTTCATATTATATTATTCCTACTTGCCTATCTGCTGTTATTTCTTTACGTGCTTCATTTTCCAACAACCCCTTTCCCTTGCGTTTTTAATTTCTCCGCCTCTCTTTAATCTCCTTATTAGTATTCCCAGTACTGCTTCCAAATGCCCTTGCTTCTTCTTATTTCTCATCCTCTAAATTCATCATTGATTTCAAGTCTCTTGTTTATCAGAGAGGAATTAACAATATAAGCATTATTTCTTTAAATGTGAAGCAGCAGTTCATGTGTCAGTGTGATCCACTGTCTGTTCTTTTAATACACAAAAGTACCACGTCACACGCATAATTCAGATGTGGAAATTTTTATTCGCGTGAAAACTCTCATAATTAAATTAAATATAAATATGTGCAAGCGCGCGCGCATGGGTAATATATCCATCCATTCAACTTTTCAAACATATATCGACGCCGAATAGAGAACGGGGCAAAGAGCACGAGGGTAAATTAAGAACGAGAGATCACGATAAGTATTCCCTTATACGTCAACATTTGATTAAAGTTGAATAATTCCCTTCCTGTTTGTTTAATCTTCGACCTAAAAGATCAGTTGAAAAAAAAAAAAAAAGAACAATATCCCCCGCTATATGTACAGATAATGGCATAGTGAATCCCTTTGAATTTTCCTCTACGGACACTGTAACATGTACGCATATGGCATGTTGGCATATTATTGCGGGAGAGCTATGTGTAGATTTCACTCCTTTAATAATTTCCTCCAGGTCCGTTTAAGGTTTAATCGTAAATGGTTTTATTTATGTACATGCGGCGTTTGCATGCGTCATAATGAGCTTTTGGCACATGCACGAATAAATCATACTGCAAGCTAAGTACCACTTTTTGTTTCCATAGATCCTTATGCATCGTTGTTTCTTATGTCTCTGTTTGCATGCCCCGGAGGAGATAATACGTACCTACCAAATTAATTAAGCTAAAGTTATAAACAGAACTACGAGCATATGGTCAAGGTGTGTGGGAACCTGGAACCCGGCCCCTTTTAATACTCACACTCCCAATCCTGGTAATTATTATTCAATCCACGCAACTGCTAATTCCTCACACGCGCATTACTAATATACCACCATGCGTGTCAATATGTCAATAAAATTTTCTGAACTTTTTCTCTGGGCATATGACGATCGAGTTATATTATTCGAACGCCATAATCATAATACAATGAGTTTTTTTTTATATAAAATTAAAGATCTCGTCCATTTCCGTTGCTGATGTCTTGGTTAACAAGATATTTTTAAAACATACACACACTCGCACACAGAGAAATTAAAGGACTTGCACACCGTTCAGAGAGCAGTGTGCTGTAGATTATTAATGTAACACCAGCTCCGGTGTTACTTTTGACTTCTAATCCCTCAAAATTATTTTAGATAATTTACTCTCTCAACTTTAATTCTTATTAATTTAGTTCTTTAAGTTTATTTTGTTTAAAAAGGAGTTTATGCTATTAAAATTTGCTGACATGGATAACAGAATATTGATGGCAGCCATATAAATTAATAAAAAAAATACAATCATTTAGATAGGAAAAAATTGCTAGGCTATATAATTTTAAAAAATAAAAGAACAAAACACAATGCAAATTATTATATTAATTAAAATTGAATAATATTTGAGAGTTAACTTATTTTCATTTAACTAAGTTATCAATATACTTTACATGTTAAATTATTTTAAGAATTAATTTATGTTTTAAAACTTAAAGGACTCACATGATAATTTCAACAAAATATAAGAGATCAAATTAATAGAAATTAAATTTAAAAGATTAAATTGATAATTGACACAAATTTGAAGGACTAAATCTTTCATTATTTTTTTTTTCCATGAGGAATCTGTCTGGAATCAGCGGTATTCAAACAAATTAACTATGCCTAGTTTCAGCAGAAGGGAAAAAAAGTCGAAATTATTAATTATTGATCTTGTGCATGAACTGTGGACTGCAATGCATCTAGAAAGTTCTGCGAGGTTAATATCATAATTTCACCGATCAAGTAGGGCATATATTATTATATATCAACTTCAATCGTCCATTGCATGCGATTGGGTTAAATTAAAGCCGGAGAGGGTAAAAGGGTTGTTGGTTTTCACCATTCAATTTACTCGCAACAACTTTTCGAATGATTGATTTTAAATAAGGTTTTAAAAATTAGAAATCAAGCTAGTTCTTAATTCATTATTGTGGTTAAATTATGATTAAATTGGTTAATATTAAATTAATATATTTTAAATTTATGTATCATAAATAAATAAAAAATATATGCAAATGTTTATATTTTTCAAAAAAATATTAATAAATACTTGGTAAAATAATATATTGTTGATGAATATATGATTAATATTAATTATTCTTAATTGTTGTTTGGTTTAATTATTTTTTTAAATTTTTAATTAATTCAAATCATTTTAAAAGAAACCGGTCTAGTTTTAACCGGTTTTGCCATGACAAGTTTTTTTGTGATTGATTTAAAAGGTCAACCGAATTAGAGCCAGTTCTTAATTCAATTTGATTTTTAAATCACTGATTTTATGTCCTCTTTTGACTTTCTTTGTTGTCCTTTATCCTTTATCCTTTTTCTTTTATCTATTCCTGCCATCTTTCACCAACTTGATTTTCTTTTATATATCCTTTTGAATTATCTCCGTGACTAATCCATCCTCGTTTGACAGTACTCCTAGCGCTCGAGATCCCTATTCCTTCCGAAGAAAAATTCAAACAAGACTAATTAGAAAAATGTTAGAGACAAATCAGATGAGGGAGATTCCTCGTCCCAACTGTTCGTAGATTAATTGATGGGAGAGCGGTTGCTCCTACTTCAACTTGCAAATGTTATTCTTTCAATGCACTACCACGATCGACGTACGAGTCTTGCAGCAGTAGAAGAATAATTAAGCTCTGACTTTTTACTGTGTCTTGATTTCAGGTGGAGATTTGCAGAATATTTTGATCAATTCTTCGGTTTTACTTAACACTTTCCCTAACCCGTGCCATCTGCCATCTATATACTCAGCCAGCGCAGTTCACTTGATCCCACCCACTGACTGCCCTTTATTTATATATGCCAAGTACTATATATGATCAAATTAAGAAAAGTAATTGCAGTGTATATCGTACATGTATTATTAGTTGAACTTAGCTTTAGATTTTAATTAATTACGCGGAAGCATGAAAATGGCTCTCTCTCTCTCTCTCACCGACAAACTCAACATCGCTAGACGTGAAAATATCCCGAGGTTATAGATATTTATGTCTAGAACCACGATATCGTAACATTTACATGTTCTTTAACATTGTACTGGCAAATTTAATTTGGATCATCTTTGATAAATTTTCATCTGAAATTGTTTGCTACATTTTTTATACACTACTCTGATAATATTAGAAACCTCTGAATAAATCATATCGGGGTGGGGGGTGTGACAGAAAAGGTCAATTAATTAAAACTTTAGTGACATGTTCGCCTTATAATGATTCAAGCAGACATAACAATAAACAAACGTGATATTAATAATGAAATGAAGAGAGAGGTGAGAGAGAGTGATATAATAAGATCAATGTAAAATAACAGCCAAGTTGGCATGTTGCAAATAGTTAACTGTTTGGATAGATATGTGCAATACCAGGATATCAAATCAATGAAGGAACCCAATCAGGTTGGGAGTTGGGCCCATGGAAAAATACCCAATTCAATTTGGCAACTTGACAAGGCTTTAGGTTCTGAGGAGCTTCTGACAAAATAAGGAGGATTTTATTAAATAAAACAAAGCTTTAAAAACAAAACGAAGGCCACTACTTTCTAGAAACATCACTCATCAGCTAACCTCCAGTGCCTCAACCAAAACCCTCCACGTAACCTCAAGTAGGGCCTGTTCTGGAATTCCCTTTCCACCAAAAGTTTACTAAAGCTCAATTAGACCCTGACAGTTTTTGAACATGGCCCAATGGCCCAGAAACATTCTTTTCCGCTACAATACACGTAAGTGATGACTCTTAGAAGTATAAATTAAAATTAGCCTGACTCAAAAAAATCAGTCTTTTAAGAGCGAAAGTTTAAATAAATTAATCTTTTTAAATTTGATTATATTTCAGAATTTTATTTTTAACAATCCGACCTTAACCTTTAAGGTTGAAAGGCCAATCCTTAAGGCCTCAACCCTAATTATTTTTTAATTTTTTAATTAATATTAAAAAATATATTTAAAATCCTAACAAAGTTATTACACATCTTATTGGGTCTAAAAAAATAAAATAAAATTAATTCATATAACAAAAGTTTTAAGTCTGATAAAAAAATAACATTTCAAAATTAACTACGACATCAATTACACATTAGTAGCATTATCAGCTAAATTTTAATATTTTTTAGCATCATCAGTATCAATATAATTTGATCATTCTCCTTATGGATTCTCATCTATAACAAATATGTTAAACTTTTCATATCTTCTTTCTTCATCCTCATTATTTGTAACAAATAATAAACCAAAATCATAATTTCAAGATATTTAAAAAATAAAAAAAATTCAAAGTAAGTAAATAATAATTTGTGTGTCTACTATCTAAATTAGAGAATGATGCTAAGCCTGAGTGATATTTTTTTTTTATTTTTTTCAAAAAAAAATATATTAAGGCTTAAAAGAGCCAGCCCTTTAGGGTTGAGGCTGACCCTTTTATTTTTAAGCTTAAAATAGCTTCCTTTTAAGCCCAATTTATCTTTTTAAAAATTAACGCAGCAACCCAACTCTTAATTTTTTGGAGCTTAAAAAGGCCGACCTTACGGGTCTGTTTGGTTCGAGGAAAGGAGAGGGGAGGTGAGGGAAGAGGGGGAGGGGGAGGAGGGGAAGGAGGGAGGGGAAGGAGGGGAGGCTTTGGAGGGGAGGGGAGGGAAAAATTTTAAAATTTTTCCCTCCCCTCCTTCTAACCAAAGGAGGGGAGGGGAGGGGCTCCCCTCCTCCCCCCAATCAAACAGGGCTTACGAGCTTAGTTCTAACTGACAAATCTAATGACTTTTAACTATAATAACACATAAAATTTTATAAAAATCATAGTTTGACTCACAATAATGTGAATTCCTTGTAAATTGAAATTGTGATGAGATAAGAAAATAAAAAAAGAGATTGGCATTCATGATATTTATTGTTCAATATAACTTTAATTTTCTATCATTAAAAATAATGTATTTTAAAAATAAAAAGAATAAATCAAAACAGCTTTAAAATATTTTTATGGTCTGTTTTTTTAAAAAAAATGGGTTTAGAAACAATTGGAATTAAAACACCCACCCATGTAAGTTTTTTAATATTTTTTATTTTAAAAACAAACAAAATAAGGCTGAATCTCAAATACACAAATACGCAAGCAACAGAACACAACAATTAAACCATGTCCCTTCTCATGTTCATGCATAGAGCACTTGAAAGACTCGGGGTCATGATTCTCGCAGATATTATGGAACCTCAAAGGCAAGTGTCTTCCCTCTTGTTGAAACATAAAGGAAGAGCAGTAGGCAAAACGTTTATCCAACACGGGTAAAGCCGCAATAATCACTTCTCCTCCACTTACGTTAGTCTATCAACAAAAGTCAGCAACACCAAATCTATTTTTTTTCCTGCATTCATCTTTACTTGTATACAAGAGTCAGTGACGACTTCAGCGAAAAACTAACTTTCGTTCTAAGAAAATTCCTGTCGACAGCACACTACGCTGTATCAAGTGCGCCAATCTCCTACCCTATGCCCCTTGCTCGTGCAGCCCTTCTCTTGAGAGCCACTCTGACTCGAACAAAAGCAAAAATACAAAAGTAAAGGAGAAAAATCAACAAATGACACTCGCTAAATTCTCCATTCCACAAAAAAAACTAAGAGAATCAGCTCAGCCTATGTTCTAAAAAGGCATGGACAAATGTACATATCCCACGACGCAACTCCAGCATTCGTTCCGCAACTTGCAAACACATTACAAGTTACAGTCGTACTAGGTGTTAAAGCGAATAATACTGCCCATAACGCACGTCCTCCGCAACCACATCAAACAAAATTCATGCAGCCTTCTCCATTTATCATGCATCACAGATCTGGTAATCTGAAATCAAGAAATTGCGGTTCATCCTCTCTACTACTATTGTTCTCTGGCTCCTCTATTTTCAAAAAATCAAAACCATAATCAACATCTGATGGTGTCTGTTCCATGTGGTGCAGACTTCCCAGCAGCTTGGCATCGGGGTTCTGCAGTTCATAGGAGAAGCTTGATGGCATTTCACTCTTGAGGTTTCCGTCTCCAGCGTGGCCCATTTGACCACAACCAAACGTTTCAGAGTCACCAATTGGATTCTTGTCCATAGCCCCCAAAAGTTCATCCACGTCAAACATCTCGTCCATAGAGAAATTCTGCAAGTAATCACCATCCAAACCATTCCCTTCAAGCCAAGAATAGTCCATTAGATCCTTACTTTCATCATTGCCATCCCTTCTAATCCCGGGTTCTTGTGGTTTCACAAATTGACACCCCCCGCACTCATGATCTGTGAGATCGACAGACCCATCCTTTGGTTCCGACTTCACTTTGATATTTGCAGAGGCAACTTCATCAGCTTCGAGACGCACATCGTCCACATCCTTGATTTTGGTAGGTTGATGTGTTGTCTTGACATCCTCAGCCGCACAGACCTCGGAATGATTTGACATGGTTGTTGTGTCCGAACCAGCAGGAGTTGCCACTGAAGAACTTGATAAAGTTGTAGCCGGTGAAAAGTCCTTGAGGGATTCCTTGCAAGAAGTATGATCCGATATGTGAGGAAAATTGAGGCGGGCACAAGCACCGTACATGGCTCTAGCAGCTTCATCATAAGCAAGAGCAGCTTCGTATGCAGTAGCGAACGTGCCCAACCACAGCCTACTTCCTCTGTTTGGTTCCCTAATCTCAGCGACCCATTTTCCCCAGGTTCTCTGTCTAACGCCTCTGTAGTTACATCTTGAGTTGTCAGGCCCTCCCTTACCCTTCATACATCCTTTCTTTGAACCTTTGGCCGGGGCTCTGCGAGTTGGTTTACTCTCACCTTTGCTAGACTCGAGATATTCATTGTATTCTTTCCACTTTGCAAGAGTCTCAGCCACAGATTTAGAACCATCGCGCCTACTTCGACTTTTCCTCTTCCTAGAAGAATCCATTGGCAAAGAAGTGATGTTAGAACCTTGATCGTAAACGCCCATGGCCCGGTTTGTCACAGAGAGTTCAGTAATTTTGTACAGGAAACCACCTTCCACTTGATAAACTTCGTACACCACAAAAATAATTGGACAGTCTTTCCCGTCAACAATCAGATCTGGATAAGTAAGATCTTCAAAATCTGCAGCTTGATAAGCAGAACTATATTAGTAGAGACGTCAAATGGAGCTTAGGAGGCAATTCTACTAATCTTAGGGCAAATAAAATGCTTCTCCCACACGCATCCAGAGAGAAATTTATGAACATAATTTTAACACTTGATCGAAAATCCTTGGACCCCAAGCAAGGTACCATCAATAAAAGAAATCCATTAACGCGTCCCAGAAAAACACTTGTTTGTAAAAAAATTTCAGCAATCGCCGGATTTTAGAACAAACACCCATTCTACCCCAGAAACATACTATACCTACAGATAAGCCAGAATCGCGAGTAGAAAACCCAGAATCCTCTATGAACAAAGAAAACTAACCCAGATCACAAACACGCCATCCTAGAAAACTCATCAGATTCATTCAAACATTTCTCCCTACAGAAGACAAACAGATAAGTGAAGGAGAATTGAAAGTAATGGACTAATCGAGAGAACCAACCTGTGAGTAGGTACACAGAACGGGCGCGCAATATTCCCCTATTGTAATTCGATCAAGCTAAGATCTTTGGAGAAAATCAGGGCTTTTCTTTATCCTTGTTGAGATATTTTCTCGACGGTCTTCCTTCAGCGGCAAGCCTGTGAAAGTTCTCGTCTAGACAACGCCGAATTCGCAAAGGCTTCTCTCGCTCTTTCTGTATTAGCTAGCAAATCTAAAAAGCTCTAACGCTCTTCTCTAGATATTTCTGATATTTTAGTTTTAATGGCTTCAGAAAAGGTGACGTGGCACTTCCTTAGTCGAGTCGCTTAGCTTCGGACTCCCGAACCTTGTAGCACGTGTCGCCCGAAGGTTCCCGAACCAACAAAACCTCACGTCGCTTTCTTCATCCCCAAGCATTACTGTATTACCCTTCTTTAAAGCGTTTCCTTCCCTCTTTTGCATCTCTTTTTTCACATATTTACGCTTACGCCACTGCCTTACTTCAATATTTTATATTTGTGGAATTAAAATCGCAGATCTTTTTTCACCAAAAAAGCAAAAGGAAAATTTATAGGTTTGTTTATAGTTTTTTTTTATCTTATTCCTCCAAAAAGTGAGAACTAATATTTTGTAAATATGTTTTGAAAATAAAAAAATATTTTTTATATTTTTTGTTATTCTTTAAAACAATAATACTAGAATACTTAAAAAATATTTTTATTTTTAAAAATAATATTTAATTTTTTAAATATTTTTTAAAAATATGTTATCAAATAGATTTTTTTTATTTTAAAGAACATAAATTTATTTTCAAAACAGGCTGCGAAACAAGTTTTTTAGGGTTAATTTTTGCAAAATTTCAATTATTTTACTTACACACCAAATCAGCTTTATAAAATAAAATCATGGCTGGTCAAAAGAAAAAAAAAAGAAAAATTCATGAGGTACAGAAAACGTGAGCATTTAAAATTTAAATGAACGTTGAATTTATGTTATTATTTATATTCCAACTAACGGACTACTATATGAAACTGTAAATATAGCATTTTTGAAGTAATGCAGTCGATGCATAATTTTACAGATATGCTCTGGTTTAGTGTTGAGGTAGTTTTGAATAAATTTAAACTTTCGTAGATCAATTTCGCGTGTATTTTATTTTTTAAGTAATAAAATATATCCAATCACGTAAAACCTTTGTTCTAAGAGGGAGGCCATCCTATTGATGCATTCTGGTTGAGTTCGTCGAGTTTTTATTTTCGGCTCACTTACTGGGATCCTGAAAACTTCAAATATTTTCACGTGTTGTTGAAAAATTCTAAGTTCACAATTTGAAGTCATGTAACTTGAGAGAAGATGAAACTTTTATTTGAGAGAAGGGAACGAAAAGTGCTTTAGAATATAAGAAGGGAAAATTGGTGGTATTTTGTTGAATGAAAGATTGCTTGAGTTAAAATTTCATTTATAATGTTATTTTTTATTTAGGGTGATCGAAAAATAAAAGTCAAAGCACAATATACAAATAAAAACTGAAGATGAAAAAAAGCAGGGTTTATACTATGGCATATATGAATTAAGACATAACATAATGCACAATATTAGTGACAGAATGGTTTACACTGCAGTGTAACCTGATTATGCCGTAGTGTAAGCATCAGTTAATGAAATGCACAACTTTTGTAAAAAACTGATATTTTTAGTATTTTATAAATGTTGTTGCTTGTCATTCTTTATCTTTGCTCGTCTCCAACAATTACAAACTAATCAATGAAAAAAGAAAAATGTCGATGATGAAATGAAGAAATTTGAGTTTCATAAGAGATTAGTGATTTTCGTCCAAAATCACTTCAATTAAATTTTTTTTTGCTTTTCCTTTCTATCTTGATATATTCTCTATTTAGTTTTGTAATTTCCAAACTCATATGTGGCTGAATCTCTTAGACTTAGAAGAATCATGAACTTATTGATGGATTAGGTTCATTTTACCCATTAGTTATGTTTAATGTTGATTTTGATTACTTAGTCTTATGCTTTAATATTTATTTGATACTTAGCCACCATTAAATATGATTTTATGTGTTAAAGATTTTTATTTGTCAAAGGGGAATTGCATCTAAACTATTGGATTGAGTAATATAGGGCTAGACTTTATCTAATATGTGATTAGGATAAACATATACTCTCTCCGATAGAAAAAAAAAAGTAAGGCATTTTTTGAGAAGTTTGATGTTAATAAATATAAAGTATTTTTAGTTTTTCAATATTTAATTATTGCCTTTTTTTAAAAAGTGATTATATTGATGAATAACTTTATATTTATTATAAGGTGTTTAATAGGGGTAAATATGAAAAGATGAGATTAGTTTAATAACTACTTTATTAAGAGGTGCAATTCGGTTAAAAATTTTTTTATTTTTAAATGAAAGGAGTACCTAATTGCCTCATATAATTTTCATGGAGTGTTCTTAGTTTAAGTTACCTCTTGAATAATTGGGCTAGAAATAACAATAACTTAAGAAAGGGTTGTTAGTGGATTGAAAGATCCTAATAACTATTAAAACTCTAAAATAATAGAATTAACTTGAAATTAATTAATTGGATTAAAATGGAATATAAGGCCACGTTTAGTTATTAAAGAGAAATAGAATGAAATTGATTAAAAAAATTAAGGTAAAAGTGAACTGAATCACCCTTCTCCTATGACAATTATGGTGAAACTTATTAATATATATTATAAATGTGAGAATCATTACACTCTTAAAAAACATCATAAATCATTATTTTTAACCCTACAAACTAAATTACCCCTCCTCCTGTAAACATGTTCACTTATCTTATTTAATAATCTTATTTTCACCTTTCTTTTTTTAATCAATTATATTTTATTTTTTTTAATAAACAAACGCAACCTAAAAAGTTAATAGAAAATTAGTGACTCTAAGTTGCTCTTTTTTAGATGATTGTTGGATTTAAGCTTGTCATTGAGTCTTTATTAATTTTAATTTTAATTTTAGTCAATTAACTTATTCTAATTAATTTTTCTTGATGTAAGAAAAATAAAAAAAAACCTTATTATTTAATTTATTGTGAAATTAATCTTGACATACTAATATATTATACCTTGACCTATACAGTGATTACGTGCATCAGATCCCGGGCTCGATTGTCCACAGAAACCAAAACTGGGCCGATCGCCTAATTTCGTTCATGATTAACAAAAAATCTCATGAGGGTTCGGCTTTCTCTGATTACGAATGATGAGCCAAAAATAAGAACAAGTTGGGGGTGGGGTCATGATGCTGTGAATCATGAATGGAAATTTTTTTTTCCTAAAAAAAAAAAAGCAGGCACCAAGGAGTGGATTATGGAAGGCACGTGTAGACTGTAGAGTAAATAGGATAAGAAGTGGATAACTCCGAGAACGGCATATCCCAAGGCAGCTGGGATTTGATTGACACGTCAGGAGGAGAAGTCAGAACAAGTGCGCCAAGTGGTTTGCTATTGAAGGTGCCACTTTATGCAGTCGTTGGCGAGCACGTCGTATTTAAGCAACCACGCGGATTTTGGTTATGATCCATACATGGATAGAACCTGTGAATTGGACGCTCGTGAATTAAATGGTGTGACCGTGTGAGACGCCCAACCCGGGGAGGAAAAAACGCGGCCGCGGGTCTATTCGTGTTAAGTATATATTTTGGGTACATAATTGTATTATTTTTTTTCAGTTTTTTAAAATAATCCTTTAATTGATAGTCGTCAGATTAATTTTTCAAAAAATATAAACACTGTAGGGGTTGTCGTTGTACAGATCTGTATTATATTTAATTTAATTATTCATTGGCATGCTAAAACTAAAATCTCATATAGGCCCAGCATTGCAACCCACCAGCCCTAATAGTTTAATATAACTCAATACCAAACTAAAAGCCCAGCCCACTGATTGAGGAAATGTTGAGATTGGGGGCCATCTTTCTGTTAACGCGCAGGAAAGAACGAGGCTAAGCATCAAGCCTCTCGTCGAGGAGATATAACAAGAAATTGATGCAAAAAATGATTATTTCCCATGACCCACTAATTTATGGTTGCTGCAGGGTGGGGACTTGATGAATTGATGAGGACTGACAAAGAATTCCCAGTAAAATAAATAAACAAATAAAAAATGAATGAACGAGAAAGTATAATTATAGACCATATAATACATTAGCTTGAACTTTTTTTTAAAAAAAAAGAGGGGCAAAAAGAAGAAAAGTTATTGATAACAAAAAGAGTGAAAAAAAAAAGTCATTCAAGCACGATCTAGACAAAGTCGAAGTGATAAATTAAACTTAGCTAAACCGAATAGTTTGGTTCAATTTAGTTGTCTAAATTTAAACGAAGTCGTTTTTAGAAAAATATCCGTCTCAGACTTGGTTAGTATGAAAATTAACTCGTCGTGTAATTTCAATCAGCCCTGTTAGGGCAGATAATGTTGACTATGGTTACCACAATACCACCAATACCAAGGCCCAGGCAATCCATCAAGACTCACCACTCATGAAACCTCTAATTTTAGGATATATTTGGCTTCTATTTCTATTTTTTTATTTTAAAACAGTTTTATAATATAATTTTTGGAATTATTTTTCAAAACAAAATAAAAAAATTTATTTAGCTGTGTTAATTTAATTAAAAAATCATTCAATAATGAAGGTCATGGGCAATTAATGATAATGTCTTATAATAATTATGAATCAAGATAACTATATTTTTCAATAACCAGATGTAATGTATTGTAAAAAAAAAATTTAAGATATTTATACTTTTTATTTTAAAAAATGAAAACAGTTTTAAAATAATTAGATTTAAAACATTCATCCAAATAAATTTTTAAATTGTTTATTTAAAAAAAACAAAAACTATTTTTTAAAATAGAATCTAGTCAGGCTTAGTTTTTTTTTTTTTTTTTTTTGGTTTTTAATTCCCTTGCCTCTGCTCTGCGCGTGCTTCGCTTCACCGCTCCTCCACATCAAGCCTTGACTTCAGTGGAATCCCCGATAGCCCAAACTAACAACTGCTTATGCTACGTTATTTATCTGCTCTCACGCACACGTGTTTTCTTTTCTAAACACGTGAATGACAATCCACTCCTTCAATTTTGCAATTGTGCTATACATGTCCCCTACGCCCCTCACGAAGCTACTCTCTTTGCTGACTTTATTGCGAAACAACGCTATCACAATCCTTGCGGATTGACCCAATTATTTGAAGCTCCAGGAAAATGCCTTAGCCTATCTTTTAGCTGACAAGAGTGGGACTTTGCCGATAGCTTGTAATCTTCTCTAGTTCTTGCACTAGCCTTTACAATAAAAAAAAAAAAGAAAAGAAAAAGGAAAATAGAGTTCCGATCATCTTAACCCGATGCCATCTGCCCATCATTATCGATTCTCACTATAAATTAACTTCCCCATTTACGTTCTTCTCTAACACCTGCATAACTGAGCGGCAGTTGTGGGGGCGATCATACATGATTAAATATAATATAGAAAGACTTCACACGTTAAAGAGGAGAAACAACATTTCATCGATCTAAGATCAATTTAACAAGTGGCTAATATCAGATGACACTCTGTCTCGAATCAGATCATTGCCATCTCTTTATCTCTCTGTTTAAAAACAAAAAACAAAAGAAAAGAAAAGAACAAAGAAACAGAGCAAAAGCAAGCTATGAAGTTCCCCAAATGCGGGGAGGGAAACAAAAATAATGAACTTCCAAACTAAGAAGAATTGACGACCTTCATTATTTAAATAACTAATTTAATCGTTTTGCAGATAATTCCTAGCAGAGAGGCAGGTCCTCCGGAGGAGGCTCCAAGGCTTCTAGCTCCCCGAGCCCGTTCTCCACCACGAGCACCGTCGCCAAACCCCACGTGATATGAACATCCAAGTGACAATGCATAATCCACGCACCTGCCATCATAACATTATCCCATTAACCATTTTGAGATCAGACGCCAAATTACTTTTAACTCTTATGTGTTTTTAAGAAAAATGCACTACCTGGGTTATCGGCAACGAATCGTATAACTGCCCATCCATTCGCCGGAACGGCCACCGTGTTCCTCATTGGGGGATCAACGAGGTTGAATTTCGAAGTATCTTTCTTTGGATCAAAATTCCCGAACCCTTCCGCCACAATATAGAAATCATACCCGTGGAGATGGATGGGGTGGTTCTCTGGAGTCACAATGCTGGTGTCCTGCAACACAATCTGCACCCCGGATCCGAACCTCAGCTTGTATACTTTCGTCCCCTGGATGGGTTGCCAGAGGGACCTGCTCACGTTGCCAGTGTAATCGAACTTCACCAGCGGGTTGGCCGGAAAGTCGGCGGTGAAGACTCCGGGAATCCTGTGGTGGTGGGCCTGCAGGATGGAGATGTTGTTGGGAAGCACGAAAGACACGTTGTTCATGCTCGCAGTGAATCGGGTCCCGTTGGGTCCCTGGCATCGACTCGACCCGAAATTTGGAGGGCAATTGTTGAGGCCCAGACCGACTGTGAAGAAGAGGTTCTCGTCGATCTCAGCGGGGACTTCCACTTTCCTCGGGCTTCGGAGGCTTCTGCTGAAGGAAGTGACGGTGTTCGTGTCATTGTACGCAGGCAGGGAAGGCATCAACGGTTTAATGGACACTCCTTTTGCGGGACACGGAGCGGATTTGTACTGGAGAATGGCGGTGGTGGTGGTGTTGTCGAACGGCGCGTTCTGGGCGGATTGGTATGCACGCGCCGCAATGTAGTATTTGGAGGGTGGCTGGTCACCAGTGATTAATACGTCGGTGGTTTGGCCAGGTCCGAGCATGAGGACTTTGGTGGTGAAGGGCTTGAGGTAGGAAGCATCGGCGCCGACCACCGTCATCTGATGGTTGGCGATGGTGAAGAAAAGGGGTTGGTTCAGCCCGGCGTTGATCACCCTGAGAAGGTTGGTCTCGCCAGAGTCTATCGGAACAATAATTGTGTCTGCACGGGCATCGACCAAAAGTAAGTTCCTCCTATCGGTTCGGGCACGGACTAATAATCTTTTTATATTTTAAAATTTATGAGACTATCGTGCACAATTATATATTTATATCAATTAGATACGGTCATTTATTGCTTGCTGGCTCTAGCCACGATAGCCAGCGACATCGTAACGTGCCTAAAATCATTAAGTTTCGGCCAAAATTATTATCCACGATCCACGGGCATAATTGCGTTTTGTTTTCCTTAATCAAATACTGCATGTTGCTCGTTAGTTGATTATTAACGATGATTCTAAACATTTAAAGATTAATGATTGCGTGCTTTGAATTTTAATTGGTTTAATTTCTCATGTGTGACTGTGTTGACAAAAATGGCGCACAAACCTTGGCTCGAGCACTTGTAAAGATCACCAGGCTGGCCATTAATAGTGAAAGCATCAGAGATATTGGGAGCTGCTCCGGTTCGCGTGGCCTCCCTCACGACGTCAATGGGGTTAGCGTCCCACCATTCCCCTGCGAGCCATCATACATATTCTCTCGTTAATCTGTCGCCATCGTTAACATAATCTTTGTCTTCTATATATATATATATATAGAACCGGGCCGGTTAGCTGGCTATCTCAATGTTAAAGGGAGAGAGAAGTAGATGATGAAGTACCTAGAAGAAGGACGGAATCGCGGTTTGGCTTGGGGAAAGGGTAAGGCTGGCCTTCCCTCGGATGAATGATTATAGCTCCGTATACGGTGGCTCTGAGCCAGGAGCTATGCGCGTGCCACCAGAGAGTGCCTTCTTGTCCCTGAATAGTGAAACGGTAGGTGTAGCTTTCCCCGGGACGAATGGGACATTGCGTCACAAACTCTGGCCCATCAGCCCATCCAGTTCTTATTTGCCTCACACCATGCCTGCCCATCCAAATGGCAACAGATCACTCCCACTCGCAATGCAAACAACAGTGCAGCATATAGGTATTTAAGTGTATGTATGCATGCGTGTATGTACCAGTGGATGGTCAGGTTGTATTGAGCTTTATTTGTGACTTTGATGACCAACGTATCTCCGTTGTTGACTTCCAGGGTTGGGCCTGGGAGCTGGCCGTTCACAGTGATAGCGTTGTGGGTGTTGCACAGCCTCTTCACTGGGGTTGCTTGGACCTGTTCCGTCAAACACAGTAAAATCAAAGAGAGGCAAAATTAAAGAACCGAGATTGGTAAAGCCATTGCGGGGGAGACGTAATTAAGTTATAACGTACAACGAACTCGTGTTCGTGAAGTTTGGCGTTGGCCAGAGCTGACAAGAGGACGAGCATGGCGAGGAAGACACAGGAATATTTGGCATTGAGAGCCTCCATGTTCGATAGTGATGAGAGGATAGAACGTTGGTGAATGATGGGAGGGAAAGAGAGGAGGGGGGCAATTTTATAGGGCAAACTGGAGGAGGGAGATTAGTCGCTTGTGGTTGGCAGATTAGGTTTTAATACGGCATCGTGGTCAGACTACGGAGAAAACTTAGTTCAACTCTATACGAGTTGTTGCACCCACTGTTTTTTTTTTCCCCTCAATTTATATGCTTGCTTCCAAAGTCTCCATTCCCTCGACTTTAATCCCTTGCGGATTCACCATCCTTAGTTTTGAACTTTCGTATCATCTAAATATTACTACCCCAGATTTTACTCCGTCCTTTTTTATTTAAAAAAAGTTGTTGTTATTCAAGTGATGCCATTAATCCCTACCTTTTCATCATCCAATTTTTCAGTTTACTTATACCAAATACACCACCAAATTAAAAAGGGGCGGTGGTGGGAAATATAGTTTTACTTTTTATCATGAAGCTAAGTGGCCCCAAAATGACCACCGTAAAAAAGCAGGGTGGTTGGCGGAATGAAGAACTGTTATTTTCCTTTTCATTAATTCAGCATTTCTTGTAATTTGGGACAATTATCTTAATTGTTATTGCCAGGGAGTGCTGCAATTGCATTAATCTTAGTTTGACTATTCCCGCTTCTGGTTGTTGCGGAAAATAGAGTTTCAAGTATCCTTTTGATTATTGTCTGATGAGAAAGTAATCCACTTTAGAAAAAATGTTGATTATTATATATATTAAGACACCTGCTTCCTGTTCTGCCATTCACTTGTCAATAATATATTGCCCATATCTAACAAACTAGATCGGCGCTGTTTATAGTTTTCGATAAACTTCATAGTATTATATATAGAATATAGAGTTTTTATTATACGATAACATATCAAATATTGCATATGGACATAGCACATTATTTGGGTTAAATAAAATCTGAAGGAATATCTATGAATATTGTCGTCAGGCTCTCGGCGTCAAGCGAAGAGTGGACTACCGTTAGGTTTCTAGCTATAACATAGTAACAAAGCATGAAATGATTTGATTGGGTCTAACCAGAATTTAGTTAGAGGCACTCATGAAAAATGTAAGTTGGAGTATCAAATTAGGTGGCCCGTCATAGAACTAGCTTCTCACACTTTGAATCAATACACACGCATAAGTATGTCCTACTCATGGATACGTACTCCAATGCACAATCCAGATAACATCTCACTTCGACGTTGACGAAGGGTGGTCGACTGGGCTACTTTTGTTTTTGTTTTTATTTTTTGGCCGGGATCACCAAAAATTGCCACATGCGACAATAAATATTTAATATTTACCAAAAGTCAGACCTAAAATTATGGTGGTACTGTAATATATAAAAGTGGAGCTCCTTTGAAATTAAAGTTTCAACGACTCCAGCCAATGAGATTCATCCGGTACAGCTGCTATGCAGTCTACACATTTGATATTCATGCTTTGACAGATCAGAAAGGTGGCTTTATGACGACGGGGGGCTGAAAAAGGACGTGAAATGAAAAGGCTTGGACTAGTCTATTTCATTGTGTCCCTTTTGTGATAACATCATCTCTCGGAAAATATTATCCTTGAATCGCAAGGAAGATGGAAAGTTTCCCTTTAATTTAACTGTTAACATATTCTGAGGCTATATACGGTTAGGAGGGCCTTGTCCGAATGTTTTGTCCGGTTATGGTATGCAGGATTAATAGCCACTTTAGAGTTGATAACAACGTCTAGCCAAGAACCCCACGGATTGTTTCTTGATGTCAAGAGCCGTTAGATTCTTCGAATAAACTAGGACGCATGTGCTCGTCAAAACTGAGGATGTCTGATGGAGATTAACACGGGGAGGTGTCGAAACAAAAATGATTGTTTCGACTTGGATTGGTGAACAAGAAATGAATGAGAGGACACAGTGCAAAAGTTGGCAGAGTTTGTTATTGACTTTTGCTGATTCTTAAGAAGGAAAAAACAGAAAGTACAATAGAAAGAAAGAAATAGAATGGTGAAATTGACGGAAGAGCAGAAAAGTGTGCATCTATATATTATGCTCGTCAAAATTTGCCGGTGATCAGTCTTTCAAAAGCTTCTCGACTTAATTTGTCTATAATTTTTGGTTTATTGTCTTGTTTGGGATTTTGATTGCTTGACATTTTCGTTTTCATGGTTAGTTACGAGTTGTTGCGAACTCATGCACAAAAGTAATTAAAAGTTGAAACAAGGAATCCACCGTCGATCTGATTCGCCGTCCAAAAACGAGCGAGGCTTTTGAAGGCGATGAAACTGAAAATTATACGCACGCATTATTAAATAGGAGCGAGATCGTACAATCAGGCTTTCGGGGAGACGCAAGCTTTACGAGGCGATCAAAAAGTCTCGGTGGACCAGAGAGTCAAAGGTCGAACGTCGCTATAATGCAGCATGCACTATGGATATGAAACTGCTGTGTCTCTGAGGAACAAAATTATATATACTTTTTTTTTTTTTACCGAGGATCATGAATTCATAATAGATGGCGAGTAGAATGCCAATAAAGTAATAATGGCTTCTTTTCAAGTGCAGCTTTTATTTTAAAAACGGGTTCTGGTGAAAGAAGAGTTGAAAAATTTGGTTTATAGTTTCTTAAAAAAACAAATTGCTCCAAAATTGTTGACATTAAAAATATTGTGAGTGTGGGTTGTAAGCCCAAAAAGAAAAAGCGGGGCGGCGAGGGATTGAGGCCGCATCAGTGGAAACAAAAAGGTATGGTTATTAGATTCGAGGCAGGAGCCTGCGTCGTAATAGATCCACTTCAAGCAAAGCCCGTCACTCCGAAGTCCAACATCAACTCTACCATACCCTCTCACATTCAATTCACTGTTGATAAGGGAGGTCTGGCTAAGATCCTGTGGCCTGGAACATCAAGCTTCAATACACTCGAAAATCCTGTAATCTGCCTGCGGATGGTCTTTCTATTTCTGTCTTTCATGATATGGCTCCTCAACACCTGAGGACCCCGGTACTGAACGAGTCCTGGGTTCTAATCCCTTTTGCGTTAAACACTCCAAAATATATATATATATATATATATATATATCAATTTATTAGCTTCACCATTGTGTCTCCCATGCTAAACAAACAGCTAATCCCTTTTTAAAATAATTCTTAAATTTAAAAACATTACCGTGACAGAAAAGGGACCTTCATGATAGAAAATAATGAAACATAAATTATATAATATAAATTATCCTGTGAAAATGACTACCAGGATAAGTAGAGTTTAGCTTATTTTAACATGCATTCTCAAAAGTTGGGATCTCAAGCATTTATAAATAAAAACAAGTGTGAAAGGCATTTAGAAGCCATATAATCTAAAACCTTGCAAAATAAAATAAAATAGGAATTTAGAAGCCATCATGCATTTTGAAAAACTTTGAAACATTTTCAACTAAAATATAAAAATATATTGCTCTGACATTCTGACATATAATGAACCATAGTTAGGTTATAACCACCCAATGTAATTTACATAGGTAAAATCAATATAAATTCATCTAGCATTTAGCTTTGGTTTACGTAACATAATATCTTCATAAAATTATCCTCCCACGTGACACTTAGGTCAAAATATCATTTTCCCATCCTTATGCTTTCTATAATTACAAATCAAAGCCAACATTTATGGATAGACCAATTGGTCGAACTCAACAGGTAAGCCAAAACATATATAGCCCAATTATCATATGCTTTTCACAATATCTAATATTGTCAAATATCATTAATGCCTCAATGAATGCATAAATATTTATCAACAATGCATGATTTATAGTCATCTCAAAACATACAAGATGTAGAAACTATTTTAAGAGACATGACCACAACCATTAATCCATATATGCTAGATAAATATCAAAAGCCATAACATTGGCAATAGTGCGTTATAAAAATCATAAATTCAGACCTAGAAAAAGGAAGTGATTCCTCACCACTAAGCCTCAAGGACTTCTTCATGTGCCATACATTTGGCTCTTCTCTTGAAATTAGTTAATAACATAATAAGATTTGAAAGTCCTAATAACCAATGCTAATTCATAGTAATGTACGCTATCAACTATATGTGTGCTTGCTAAGTGGGGAACATCAATTATATAATTGAAACAGAAATACAATAGATATTGTAATGTACGACGAACAACCATTCTTATATCCTTTCATTGATCTCAAGTTGTAGCCCTTACTCAGTGCTAATAACCATACAAATAAGAGTAGACAACACTAATCACAAATTAAAATATAATTACTTCATGACTTTATCAATAAATTGCCCTTTAAAGCTTTTCTTCTACAACAATCTTTACCAATGAAACAATCCATGCATGTCTTAATATTATAGCATATTATTTTTAATTATTAAAACTAATAAAATAATTCTAATTTTAGAGTTAGAGGATATAACTTACACTTTCAACTTTATTATTTGCATAATTTCTAAGGTTAGTATGATTAACCAAAATTTCAACCCTCTTTTAACAAGTTATAAACATCAGCGGGCTATAATTAACCTCTAATTTATTTATGTATTAAAGTTTAATTTTACCCTTGTGTTTATTTTTTATGAGTATTGGGTACCCTATATTATTAAATGGGATAATTTTACCTCTGAACTAGTTGTTCAAGGAGCAAAAAACTCCTTTTATTAGTTAATTGTTATCTTTTTTGTTTTTTGCAAATATGGCATGTGCATACGGTCATGCATAGTGACACGTAAGACTTTGACTATGTTATTTGGTGCTAATTTACCTTTGAACTTTTTTTTTAGTAGTGCTAAGCATCTTAAAATCTTTTTCTATGAGTTTTGGGTACCTTGAAGTCTTGTGAAATAAAATTTAATAAATATTATTAAAATATTAAGTATTTTAACATTTAATAATTTAAATATTATCATTTAAAATATTACATCACCTAATTTTATATTTTAATATTTTTGAAATTTTGTAATTTTGTATTTAAAAAAAAGAATGAACCTCTAAATTAACAAAAGGGTTTTTTTTCCTCATAT